CTGCATGGAGCCGCCAGGCCGAGGGATTACAGTTATTTTGTGTCTCTTCCATTTGCCCAATAATCGCAACAACTGTGTCACTTCTCACCAGGGCTATGACAGGTCTTGTACCCATCAAGCCTGTGTAGAGTCTTCAATCTTATCCCTGACATCCTTTGGAGGCTCTTTGGTCTTGGCCATGGTGGAAAGTTTGGAACGTTGATTATTGCTTCTGTGGACGTGTCTTTATACAGGTAACACACTGAGATTGGAGCACTCCCTTTAAGATGGCTCCTAATCTCGGTCCCGTCCTGTTTTAAAAGACACCTGGGAGCCAGAAATCTTTCTGATTGAGAGGGGGTCAAAATACTTATTTCCCTCATTAAAATGCAAATCAATTTATAAAAATTTTCACGTGCATTTTTTCTGGATTTTTTTTGTTGTTATTCTGTCTCTCACGTCCAAATAACCTACCATTAAAATTATAGACTGATCATTTCTTTGTCAGTGGGCAAACTTTACAAAATCAGCAGGGGATCAAATACTTTTTTCCCTCACTGTACTACCCCACCACTGTGAGCTGTACGCTCTTGTTGGCTGGTCCTCACTACATATTCGTCGCCAACCCACTGGCTCCAGGCCATCTATAAATAACTGCTAGGCAAATCTCTGCCTTATCTTAGCTATTGGTCACCATAGCAACACCCACCCGTAGTATGCGCTCCAGCAGGTATATCTCATGGTCATCCCCAAAGCAACACCTCCTTTGGCCGCCATTCCTTCCAGTTCTCTGCTGCCAATGACTGGAACGAACTGCAAAATCTCTGAAGCTGGAGACTCTTATCTCCCTCACTAACTTTAAGCATCAGATGTCAGAGCACCTTACCGATCACTGCGCCTGTACACAGCCCTTCTGAAATTAGCCCACTCAACTACCTCATCCCAATACTTTTATTTATTTTGCTCATTTGCACCCCAGTATCTCTATTTGCACATCATCTCTTGCACATCTATCATTCCAGTGTTAATACTAATTATAATTATTTTGCACTATGGCCTATTTATTGCCTTACCTCCATAAGTTGCTACATTTGCACACACTGTACAGTGAGGGAAAAAAGTATTTGATCCCCTGCTGATTTTGTACGTTTACCCACTGACAAAGAAATGATCAGTCTATAATTTTAATGGTAGGTTTATCTGAACAGTGAGAGACAGAATAACAACAAACAAATCCAGAAAAACGCATGTCAAAAATGTTATAAATTGATTTTGCATTTTAATGAGGGAAATAAGTATTTGACCCCCTCTCAATCAGAAAGATTTCTGGCTCCCAGGTTTCTTTTATACAGGTAACGAGCTGAGATTAGGAGCACACTCTTAAAGGGAGTGCTCCTAATCTCAGCTTGTTACCTGTATAAAAGACACCTGTCCACAGAAGCAATCAATCAATCAGATTCCAAACTCTCCACCATGGCCAAGACCAAAGAGCTCTCCAAGGATGTCAGGGACAATATTGTAGACCTACACAAGGCTGGAATGGGCTACAAGACCATCACCAAGCAGCTTGGTGAGAAGGTGACAACAGTTGGTGCGATTATTCGCACATATGGAAGAAACACAAAAGAACTGTCAATCTCCCTCGGCCTGGGGCTCCATGCAAGATCTCACCTCGTGGAGTTGCAATGATCATGAGAATGGTGAGGAATCAGCCCAGAACTACACGGGAGGATCTTGTCAATGATCTCAAGGCAGCTGGGACCATAGTCACCAAGAAAACAATTGGTAACACACTACGCCGTGAAGGACTGAAATCCTGCAGCGCCCGCAATTTCCCCCTGCTCAAGAAAGCACATATACAGGGCCGTCTGAAGTTTGCCAATGAACATCTGAATGATTCAGAGGAGAACTGGGTGAAAGTGTTGTGGTCAGATGAGACCAAAATCGAGCTCTTTGGCATCAACTCAACTCGCCGTGTTTGGAGGAGGATGAATGCTGCCTATGACCCCAAGAACACCATCCCCACCGTCAAACATGGAGGTGGAAACATTATGCTTTGGGGGTGTTTTTCTGCTAAGGGGACAGGACAACTTCACCGCATCAAAGGGACGATGGACGTGGCCATGTACCGTCAAATCTTGGGTGAGAACCTCCTTCTCTCACCCAAGGCATTGAAAATGGGTCGTGGATGAGTATTCCAGCATGACAATGACCCAAAACACACGACCAAGGCAACAAAGGAGTGGCTCAAGAAGAGGCACATTAAGGTCCTGGAGTGGCCTAGCCAGTCTCCTTTGTGGAGGGAGCTGAAGGTTCGAGTTGCCAAATGTCAGCCTCGAAACCTTAATGACTTGGAGAGGATCTGCAAAGAGGAGTGGTACAAAATCCCTCCTGAGATGTGTGCAAACCTGGTGGCCAACTACAAGAAACGTCTGACCTCTGTGATTGCCAACAAGGGTTTTGCCACCAAGTACTAAGTCATGTTTTGCAGAGGGGTCAAATACTTATTTCCCTCATTAAAATGCAAATCAATTTATAACATTTTTGACATGCGTTTTTCTGGATTTCTTGGTTGTTATTCTGTCTCTCACTGTTCAAATAAACCTACCATTAAAATTATAGACTGATCATGTCTTTGTCAGTGGGCAAACGTACAAAATCAGCAGGGGATCAAATACTTTTTTCCCTCACTGTATATATGTTTTGTTTTACCCCATATGTAACTCTGTGTTGTTGTTTTTATCGCACTGCTTTGCTTTATCTTGGCCAGGTCGCAGTTGTAAATGAGAACTTGTTCTCAACTGGCTTACCTGGTTAAATAAAGGTGAAATAAATAAAAATAAAATAAATAGCCTACATCTTTTCGTATCTCCTCCCTCATTAGTGATAGGCTGACAGATGTCAGATCCAGTCAGCTGTCAGTCCTCAGCCTCAAACACTCTACATCTCATTAGCATATGCCTGGCATGTCCTAACTGCCAACCCCCCCCCCCCCCCCCCCCCAAACACTGTCACTGGGCAAAGACAAAATATAGGGATAAGGGGGACATTTGAGACACAGCCACTGTCAAAGACACTCTCATATTCCCACACACATACAGTACAAACATACAGTGCATTCGGAAAGTATACATACCCCTTGACTTTTTCCACATTTTGTTACGTTACAGCCTTATTCTAAAATGGATTGAATAAAAAAAAATCCTCATCAATCTACACACAATACCCCATAATGAGAATGCGAAAACAGGTTTTTAGAAATGTTTGCAAATGTATTAAAAATATTAAATATTAATACCTTATTTACATAAGTATTCAGACCGTTTGCTATGAGACTCGAAATTGAGCTCAGGTCCATCCTGCTTCCATTGATCATCCTTGAGATGTTTCTACAACTTGATTGGAGTCCACCTGTGGTTAATTCATTTGATTGGACATGATTTGGAAAGGCACACACCTGTCTATAGAAGGTCCCACAGTTGACAGTGCATGTCAGAGCAACAACCAAGCCATGAGGTGGAAGGAATTGTCCGTAGAGCTCCGAGACAGGATTGTGTCGAGGCACAGACATGGGGAAGGGTACCAAAACATTTCTGCAGCATTGAAGGTTGCCAAGAACACAGTGGCCTCCATCATTCTTAAATGGATGAAGTTTGGAACGACCAAGACTCTTCCTAGAGCTGGCCGCCCAGCCAAACTGAGCAATCAGGGGAGAAGGGCCTTGGTCAGGGATGTGACCAAGAACCCAATGGTCACTCTGACAGAGCTCCAGAGATCCTCTGTGGAGATGGGAGAACCTTCCAGAAGGACAACCATCTCTGCAGCACTCCACCAATCAGGCCTTTATGGTAGAGTGGCCAGACGGAAGCCACTCCTCAGTAAAAGGCACATGACAGCCCACTTGGAGTTTGCCAAAAGGCACCTAAAGTACTCTCAGACCATGAGAAACAAGATTCTCTGGTCTGATGAAACCAAGATTGAACTCTCTGGCCTGAATGCCAAGCGTCATGTCTGGAGGAAACCTGGCACCATCCCTACGGTAAAGCATGGGGGTGGCAGCATCATACTGTGGGGATGTTTTTCAGCGGCAGGGACTGGGAGTCTAGTCAGGATTGAGGGGAATATGAACGGAGCAAAGTACAGAGAGATTCTTGATTAAAACCTGCTCCAGAGCGCTCATGACCTCAGACTGGGGTGAAGGTTCACCTTCCAACAGGACAATGACCCTAAGCACACAGCCAAGACAACGCAGGAGTGGCTTCGGGATAAGTCTCTGAATGTCCTTGAGTGGCCCAGCCAGAGCCCGGACTTGAACCCGATCAAACATCTCTGGAGAGACCTGAAAATAGCTGTGGAGCGACGTTCCCCATCCAACCTGACAGAGCTTGAGAGGATCTGCAGAGAAGAATGGGAGAAACTCCCCAAATACATGTGTGCCAAGCTTGTAGCGTCATACCCAAGAAAACTCAAGGCTGTAATCACTGCCAAAGGTGCTTCAACAAAGTAATGAGTAAAGGGTCTGAATACTTATGTAAATGTGATCAGTTTTTTATTTATTTTTTAATGAGCAAAACAAAAATGTGAAACTGTTTATGGGGTATTGTGTGTAGATTGATGAGGGGGAAAAAACAATTTAATCCATTTCAGAATAAGGCTGTAACATAACAAAATGTGGAAAAGGTAAAGGGGAATGAAAACTTTCCGAATGCACTGTATATACTGCATACTGGTAGTCATTGCCACCCACAGAGAAGGGCGTTGTGAATTCAGGAAGGAAGTTTGCTTCAATATACCCTATCATTCACAGACAATGACAGTCCAAACCCAATCATTCTCCAAAGTGTAGATCACCTCAGCATTTCCCAAGAGAGAGCAATAATAACAGGGTTGCCTGTATTTCCCCAGGAGATGGAATTCATGAGATGGAATCATTTAATAGGGAGAGCGCTGTTTTTCCAACGAGGTGACATTGAGTGGATGGAGGGATGTCCATTAATAATACATGAGAGTGTGAGACGTGAATGCTGATGGAGGCAGTGTATGGATGTGAAAGGTTGTTGAGGTGAGTCTGCTTCTGCCGCTACCTCTGCCAAGCTGCAGAGCAGTTCTAGCGCTTCTATTTCTGTCTCGGCCCGGCACAGGCAGCGAGGTGAGCAGTAAACCCATGTGATTCATGGTTTGATTATCTTCGCCCACGGTCCTCCTTTTCTCCGTTCACTCCAAAGGCATATGCTCCCTAAACGTCTTGTCCTCTCTGCTCTACCAACCTACCTACTGCCGCTCCCTGCTAAATCAGCTGGAGAGATTTAATATGGCCCTTCTATTTAGTGGAAGGTGACCCGTCCTGGCGTCCTTCAAGAACAAAACTATTAACAGCTAGGCTTGATGTCATTACTGACTGCTTTACTGGTGCTCCACTGTTCAGTACGGTACTCTGCTATCCTACTTTAAGGTGTTACTGTGTTCTCTCACCATTAAACACCAGTGTTTTATGGTTGTCTTTATAATGGTGCTGTTACTGGACGCTGCTGTTAAAACATTATGGACCACGTCCACGTCCATTTCACAGCTGTGGGAACTGACATTGACATGTCCCTGACAAATCTCTCAGGTCTCTATTGGTGTTTGTATCCATCTTTTTTGTGTTGCATGTCTTTCTTTCCTATCTGCCTGAACAATGAACCTGATATGGAGGGACATCGCTATCTCTAGATATTTCTCTTAAATTCTCTTTTATTAGAATATCTCTAACATAACAATACATATATTTCTCTTTGTTTCTCTCTGTATAGTATGAACCTGACGTGGAGGGACATGCAGCACCTGGTGGTTAGAACCTCTGACCCCGCCCACCTCAGCACTGACGACTGGAGGACCAATGGAGTGGGCCGCAAAGGTAACAGGAGAGCTCTCATTGGACTTGCCTTGGCTGACTGAACTACATGATAAGTGGACTCACTTGACTCTTTGGAACTTCACTCATGGTTTTTCTGTCTCTCTCAGTGAGTCATTCGTATGGGTATGGTCTGCTGGATGCGGGGGCCATGGTGGCCCTGGCTCAGAACTGGACCAGTGTGGGCCCACAGCACCAGTGTGTCCTCACCATGCTCTCAGAGCCTAGGGACATAGGTAGCCGGCTGCTGTTCAGTAAGACATTGGACTCCTGCTGGGGCAGACCAGAGTATGTCAACTCTCTGGAGCACGTCCAGGCCCGCCTCACTCTCTCCTACAACCACAGAGGAAACCTGGCTATACACCTCATCAGCCCCCATGGGACACGCTCTACCCTGCTGGCACCCAGGTACACCCACACACACACCTACTGTAGAAATACAAAGGAAACCTCATATCAGTCCGATAGATACACAATCCCCCAGGTAAACATACACACGTTCACAGAAAAACACAGTGCAGTGTTTGTTGTTTTTCATTTATGTTCGCTTGAAATGTATTTTTAGCAGCCGTTCTGGGAGGTATTGTTTTTGAAGAGCCCTTCATGGTTCAGGATGGTTGCTATGAGATGAATGTTTTTGGCTGTGAACCCTAACTACTCTCTCTGTGTCTCTCCCTTTCTCTCTCCCTCCCTCCCCATCACCCTTTCCCCTCCTCTCGCTCACTCTTTTCAGGCCTAAAGACTATTCGTCAGAGGGATTTATTGACTGGGCCTTCATGACCACCCACATGTGGGACGAGGACCCTCGAGGGGAGTGGACCCTGGAGATAGAGAATGTCTCAGAACAAGGACACGACTATGGTAACAGGACGTCTGTGTACCTTCATACAGCAGAGAGGCTCCTTCCTCCTCTTTTCTTTCTCCTTTCCCTCCTTCTTCTCCAGAAGGTCTCTGCTGTCGTTTGTTGCCGTCTCAGCGCAGCAGGGGAAATAAGAGGAGTGATTCTCTCTACTCCCTCTCTACTTCTCTCTCCTCTTCATGGATATTCCTGTCCACAATGTATCAGTTCTCTCTCTCGTTCTTAATCAGCCCTTGTTCTCCTCTCTCTGTGTTTGTCAGTCAGCTCACTCTTCATCATCATCATATTACCGTCTCTCTGAGACTCTCACCCATTCTACCTCTCTCCTCTTAGAGGTATTTAATTGTTAATTCTCTCTGTTCTTCTTTCTCCTCTCTCTTGAGTTTGAAATGTGTTCACCTTCTCTCTCTTCCTCTACTCTCTCCTCCACCTCTCATCCTATCTCCTCCACCTCTCTCATCCTCTCTCTCTCCCCCCTCTCAGGTGTGTTGAGTCAGTTTACTCTGATCCTGTACGGTACGGGCTCCAGCTCCAATAACCCCTTGTCTCCTGACTTCCCCCGGCCTTCCAACAACAGCTGCAAGACCTTCGACACCCAGCAGATCTGCATCGGTGAGACTGACTGTCCGAGACACACTGAGAAAACTATCTAGCACTAAAAGATTGAAGCCACTGGTGACACTCAGCATGTGGCTGTTGGCTTCTCATGCATATGACGCAGGTTGGCATTTTTTGAGATCACTCATGTACTGGAGGCAGCTCTGCAGAGTGGTCACTAGCTGGCACAACCACAAAATTATAACATCTGATTTTAAACCTATCCCTAACCTCAACCACACTGCTAAAGTCAGATGTACACGACACGATTTTGGCTGTCCCAGACAAGTTTTTGAGATCGGAGACAAAATCCCCATGTCGTTGCCTACTCGAGGCGCGTGGCTGTCACCAACGCTCGTTTAATGTGAGCGGGTAAGAGATGCAATCTGAGGGCTACCGATCCCATCTTTGAGCAGCCACAGACATCCCGATATTTTCAAACATGTTTGATTTTAATCGGCACAAAATCTGCAATGCTCTTGTAGTGGGAGATGTGCAACGACACATTTTGAGAAAGGTGATCAGCAATAGCCAATGAGAGCTCGCCAAAGAAGAAGCCAGTGAGATGATGACGTTGTTACGCATTACACAAAATGTGTAGACTCTCAAGCAGGAGCGATGACTACTACTAGTATGCATTTGTACTTGCCTTTAACCAAAGCGACAAATCATTACAGCTCTGAAGTTCACAAGCAATGTTATTCAATTCAAAATGTTGGCTAAATATTTCAACTCTGTATGGCAGGTGTAAATGTCTGACTGAAAACGTTTGAGGCTGCTTTGTTCTAGCTACGTTAACAATCTAATCACATAATTGTTTTCACGAGACATTGTGGAGGTATCGAAAATCCTTACGACCAACTGAAGAATCTTGTAGTGTGTGACACCCCATCTGTTCCACATCGTGTAGTGTGGGCATCACTACTTTGGCAAGACAAAAACTACAGGAAAGATGGTCATTTCATGTGAGAGGCTCAGCGATGTTAGGATTTTGAAAGTCGTGTAGTGTACACCCGGCTTTACCCTAATGCCTAACCCTAACCTTAAATTAAGACCCAAAAGCACATTTTTGCTTTCATAAATTTTTACGATATAGCCAATTTTGACTTTGCAGCTGGCCCATCTAGCGGAAACCGCTCAGTTCTGCCTCCAGGGCAAGACTCATGACAATAAACATCAATCTGCGCATATGACAGGAGTGTTAAAAGGCTTAATTCCTGACATGTTTTTGCTTTTTTTGTGTGTGGGTGTATGTACAAGCCTTTGTCCCCACTGACTGCTCAGAAAAGCAGCACCTCATCCCCCTGTGTGTGTGTGTGTATCATCTCGCTTTCTCACTTTCTCTTTCTCTCACTCATCTCTTCCTCTCGCTCTTTCCCTCTTCCCCTCTCTCCCCCTTTCCAGAATGCAGCCCAGGCTTCTCCCTGTTCCTGCAGGGTTGTGTGAAGCTCTGCCCCCCCGGCTTCACTGCAGGCCCCCAGCTCCTCAACATGTCCCTGGACAATTGGGTGGACTTGTCCTCGGCCCAGTCCTGCCTGCCATGCCACCCTGCTTGCCTCACCTGTTCCGGACCCGGGCCCAGCGATTGCCTCTCTTGCTCCCCTCACAGCCACCTGGTCCTCACCGCCTGCCTGCACCAGAACCAGGTCCAGCGCAAGTCCCCCACTGGCCCCATCCTCCAGGGAGAGATGGGTGGACCAGGGGAGAGCCCAGTGGGGTTAGAACAGGGGGGAGGGGGGGGAGGGGGGGAACCTCCAGGGCCTAGCCTGGCCCTGTCCTCCCCTCTGGCCACCCTCCTGGCGATGCTCAGCTGTGCCTTCATCCTGGCAGCCTTCGCCGGGGTCTTCCTTCTGCTGCAGCTGCGCTCTGGTGGCGCCCCCTGGGCCCGGAGGACCAAACTGCACTCTGTGGAGACGGGGGGATGGGCCTCGGGGGGCTTCGGCCTGGGGCTGGGCTGGGAGAGGCAGGGCAGGGTATCCTATAAGGGGATCCCCACCGTGTGGGGGGACGAGGACCAGGTAACACTGGGGGGCTCTGATTCCGACAGTGAAGAGCTGAACTGCCACAGTGAGAGGACAGCCTTTATCAGGACGCAGAGCTCTCTCTAGCCCCTTCTCTGACCCCTACGTCTGGGGGAAACTCTCTTCAGAGGGTTTGGGCTCTCCAGCCCCTCCCTCTACCAGAGCTCATGGGTCTGTAGTTTGGGTCTGGTTCAGGCATTGTCCCTGGCTGATACACAGAGATGCTGATCCAGGGATGTAATGGTTCAGGCCAGCAAGCACCTCCTGGTCCACTGATTCACCCACAAGCATTAATCAACTGAAAATGTTTTTGTTTTATAATTACTATATATTTTTTTGGCTGTTAAACACTTGAATACGACTATTTGCCCTGGCCCAAGGTTCTAGGTAAAGGTAAACTACAGTTTTCGAATTGAGTTGGGGATCCAATGTTTTCGCTAATGTTTCCCATTGACCTTTAGTTTGTTGTAGAAAGGCCCTTAGCCTTGCATCATAGGGGCCAGATTTCTGTATTTTGAAAGTTGCATATCTTGAAAACTTGATTTCTGTGACATGCAAAACCTTTTGGGACTATATCAACAATGGCTTAGTTTTTGGGTGGAGTTTTCCTTTAAGCAGACATGGGAAGAGATGTCCATATCAGTGTGTGTGTATGCGTGTGCCTGTGTGGTAGTGACTTTGTAGACAAGAGCTGAATAGGCTCCCAACACAGTTTATGATTGGATGGAGACCACAACAGGGTTTTCTTTAATGTACGAGAAAAAGTGAAAGCTTGGATTTGTAAATTAGATTCTCTCTATGGTTGCCCTTTACACTCATATCCGTATACGGGTTGAAAATTGCAGATCTGGGCACTGATAAATGCCTACATTTGAACGCAGTGGCTGTACAGTAACATATGCTATACATGACGTCAGACCTTGGCCTCTGTGCTTCACAGCGCTGTATGGGTTTTGAGTGACAGCCGTTCTTAACTTGAGCACCGCACACGATAAGAAGTTGCGCCCCCCCCGGGCAACTTTTTTTGTTGACTGAGTTAGGGAAATGCTCTAAATTAAGAAGACTATGTATTTTCAAAGATGAGACGTTGAGGATTATAACTAAATACTGTTTTGATGTCATACAAGCAAGCCAAACACCCATGAGTCCAAATGTGTACTTCACATTTCCGTTTATAATCTCTGTTTGAGGTAGTTACAAGATAACATGGCGTCATACACTGGGTTATTCTGAACAGAATGTGCATATGTTTGTCTACTGGGAAGAAACGCAGCTGAATGCACTCATGACTCCTTTCTAATCGCACAAAAATTACGATCTGTTTCCCTGAATTGCATTTTGAAAGCCTAACACTGTAATATCGTATTTTATAACTTAGCTAGTAATGTTGGCAATAGAACAAGCTTTCAAATTATGCCTACCTGACCCAGATTGCGATTTATAATGGACCGTTTTTGGATTGCGTAAACAACAGTAATTGTGTGATGGCGGGGATGCAGGGTTGTGTTCCACACTTCTAGCGTGCTTGCTGTAGTTCCTCAACGGCACAGCTAGGAGAGCTGAAAAAAGCACCTTATAGTTGAAGACTCTTCTTTGAGTCATACAAGTGTATTGAAATTACTTAGGAAATGTGCACGCTTTGGAGAGGTGTGTGGCCACTTGGAGACACCAGTTAGTCCTCTCACTCTAACCCTTATAATTGTTTTGTCTTATGTTGCACCTACAACATTTTCCAGGAATATTCCTATGTTACTGATCCAGAGTATTTTCAGATTTCGTTATCAACAAATGTAGCGAAAAGTACAGTAAAATGTCAAATGCACATAAAATCAACAGTAGTGCTAATCGATTAGTGCTTTTTGATTATAAAAAAAATAATCACGGTTTTGGATGTCAGTTTCGATTATATATTTTTTTACATTAAATGCTCTAAGCATTATGTGGGTTGAACGCTGTAACAACATAGAATAAAACAATTAATAAAAGACCCATGATGGTATTGACTGCCATTACTGTTTTATCACTTATGAACCAACATTTATTCACATTACTATAATAAAATAATTCAGTTGTTGTGTATATTACATTTGTTTTATTAGATTACTTTATTATTTCATTCCAAGTCATCATCTTATCTCTGTAAAGCTGCTGCCTATGCTGTCTAAAAAAAATCACTCTTTTCTAGTTCTTCAAAGTAAATAACGCATACTTTTATGACTGCTGAATATCAATTATCAATCACTTAGACCATGTATTTTCAGGTAGAGATACCTCGCGAAGCAACAGCTGCTCGCTATATCACCTCAGGATCGCGCATTCTTCTCTCTTTCGTAGAAGTCGTAAAAGAGAAACAGACCGGACAAGTAGATGCGCAATGGATTATGGTCATTGTAGTTAATTACCATGTTTTATGCGATAAACTATGTAGAATATTGGGCCAATTGGAAACCACAACTCCCTACTACATCACACAGTTCAGGCTGGATATGATTTATCTCTAGAGAAACTGAGTGATGTGCGCATCGAGTTCACAGAACAAAATAAACGAACAAAATGCAATTGAAATAATTGAACCGACTTCAGGCAATTAGTTGTTTAAAAACCAGAAAATAACTGACATTTTGTTTAATAGCTCAGCACTAATCAAAAGTGTAATGTTTGGATTCAGTCTTGTGTCAGGTGAACTGTTGTGTCCTCGCGTTTGGTATTATACTTTAATATAATCTCCAAACCGTTCCCTTTCAATTGCTTCCATGGTTGTGCATATTCTTTTCATATTTCTTCTGTAAGAAACATTTCAATTTAGCACTATCCATAGTCCCAAGAGTGTAAAGGGTTAAAAGGACCAATGCAGAATTTTTTTTCTTCTCAATATCAAATCATTTCTGTGTAACAATTGAGTACCTTACTGTGATTGTTTTCAATCAAATGGTTTAAAAAAAAAAACGGAATAGCTTCTTAGCGAGAACAATTTCTCAAGCAAGAATGTTGCTAGGACTGTTTGGGAGTGGTCTGAGTGGGGAGGGGAAAACTGAAAACTAGCTGTTATTGGCAGAGAGGTTTGGAACTCTCTATCTTATTGCCTGGTGAAGTCACCAGGCAGGCCAAAGCTCCATCCCAACAAAACAGTGTCTTTTCAAACAGCTCTTACACTAAAAGGCATTATCAACCTTTTTTACGATTTCACAGTATTATTCCAACCTCGTAGTGTGGAAATATACAGTGCCTTCGGAAAGTATTCAGATCCCTTGACTTTTTCCACATTTTGTTACGTTGCAGCCTTATTCTAAAATGGATTATATTGTTTTTTTCCCCTCAATCTACACACAATACCCCAAAATGACAAAGCGAAAACAGGTTTTTAGATATTTTTGCAAATTTATTAAAAATATATAAATGTGATATTTCAGTTTTCTAAGTATTCAGACCCTTTACTCAGTACTTTGTTGAAGCACCTTTAGCAGCGATTACAGCCTCAAGTCTTCTTGAGTATGACATTACAAGCTTGGCCCACCTGTATTTGGGGAGTTTCTCCCATTCTTCAGGTTGGATGGGAGCGTCGCTGCACAGCTATTTTCAGGTGTCTCCAGAGATGTTTGATCGGGTTCAAGTCCGGGCTCTGGCTGGGCCACTCAAGGACATTCAGAGACTTGTCCCGAAGCCACTCCTGCGTTGTCTTGGCTGTGTGCTTAGGGTCGTTGGCCTGTTGGAAGGTAAACCTTCGCCCCAGTCAGAGGTCCTGAGCACTCTGGAGCAAGTTTTCATCAAGGATCTCTGTACTTTGCTCCGTTCATCTTTCCCTCGATCCTGACTAGTCTCCCAGTCCCTGCTGCTGAAAAACATCCCCCAGCATGATGCTGCCACCACCATGCTTCATTGTAGGGATGGTGCCAGGTTTCCTCCAGACGTGACGCTTGGCATTCAGGCCAAAGAGTTCAATCTTGGTTTCATCAGACCAGAGAATCTTGTTTCTCATGGTCTGAGAGTCTTTAGGTGCCTTTTGGTAAACTCCAAGCGGGCTGTCATGTGCCTTTTACTGAGGTGCGGCTTCCGTCTGGCCACTCTACCATAAAGGCTTGATTGGTGGAGTGCTGCAGAGATGGTTGGCCTTCTGGAAGGTTCTCCCATCTCCACAGTGGAACTCTGGAGCTCTGTCAGAGTGAAAATCGGGATCTTGGTCACCTCCCTGACCCAGGCCCTTCTCCCCCGATTGCTCAGTTTGGCCGGGCGGCCAGCTCTAGGAAGAGTCTTGGTGGTTCCAAACGTCTTCCATTTAAGAATGATGGAGGCCACTGTGTTCTTGGGGACCTTCAATGTGGCCAGATCTGTAGTATTTTTTAATACATTTGTAAAAATGTCTAAAAACCTGTTTTCACTTTGTCATTATGGGGTATTGTGTGTAGATGAATTAGGATTTTTTTTTTAAAAAATACATTTTAGAATAAGGCTGTAACGTATTAAAATGTGGAAAAAGTCAAGGGGTCTGAATATTTTCCGAATGCACTGTATATAAAACACAGGATAATCACATTTTTGACTGCACTGGGCCTTTAAACACTTTTTTATTAAACTTTTTCCTACTGTTTGTTCTTTGAGTTTCCTACTCTTCTCCATAATCAGTGGGCTCTAGCATTTTTTCAGCAGCTAATAAAACCCCAAGATAGACAACACATCAACAATCCAGCACAGACTCTTTTGTAGTAGTCTTCAAGGTTTTGATAACTATTGAGCTTTAGCTTAGCAATAGTCACCAACAGCTTACAAGATCTTAATACCAATATAGACAATTGTTGAAAGGCCAAACTCCTAATATTGTGGTTGTTCTTTGGATGTAAGCAGAAAGCCCATGCATCAATCAGCAAACACACACACTACATAACAAGTGGGAGAAGGGATGGCAGGTAATATTAGTCAGCCACTTTATTCTATTTGCACGCTGGGTTACCTACAGAGGGATTACCAACCCTGCAGTACTGTGTGTTCCCATCTTTCTGAAGAAGAAGAAGACGAAACACTTAACCCAAAGCTATTTGACCTTCTCAACATGTCTCTATTGTCTTGCTATTGGCAAGACATAAGATAATTTTGTTTTCATTCTCTCCATGGAGGCTCTATTGATTTTTAGGGTTTGTTTCTCCGCCAAGTCTTTATCAGTGGAAAAAAGATAAATCTCTTTCTCTTGTTATTACACATTTCACATATTTTGACAAGCAAATGTATTGGCCTGCTGGTATTTACACATTTGCAGACATGCATTATTAAGTTATTGGTCAACTTTAAGAACATATATTTTGGACTGGTTGATATAATCAAAGTCCTTGAGTCTCGCATGTGAGAAGAACTGCTATGGTGAAATGTTTATAGATCGGTTACAGCATATTTTAAATAGATTGTATTTTATAGCATTTTTATTTATTTTCTATCCTTTTTTATTTAACTGATGATTGATGTCAATATTGTGGGGATAAATGTCATGCTAAAATAAAATGACTTTGGAAGTCATGTGAGATGAGAGCTGGTGTGTTGACCCATTCTGTGCTCTGTATCACCCTTGGGGAGCTCTGTGTAGGTGTGCTTTCATAGCAGTCAGCCAAAGCTTACAGACACTCACACAACACACACTCCACTAATGCTTTGTCAGTGCCTGCCAGCGATACACAAGCCCACTTCCTGATATCTAGGGCTTCTCTCCTCTACCGTTTTCTCTTCCACTTTCTCCAGCTACCGGAAGAGCATCGCCACAACCCCCTGAGATACAATAACTTCCTCTAGTCCTAAATACTGCTGAAATACTAGGACATTAATATTTAAACTAGATTCATATGAAAAGTTTTGCGTGTGTGTAGGTTGTATTTGCCGAGTTCATTAACAGGAAATTTTCTCCATTCCTCAGAAAAGTACAGAGGGGAGCAGGTCTAAGATAATAGTACATTCTGAATGCACCCCCATAATAAGATCTGCAGGGAGAAATTGTAGCTCATTTCAGAACCCGGAACGTGCATACCTTGCATGGCAAGTATGTGTGTTTGAGTGAGTGAGTGAATGAGTGTGTCTGCGAATGTGTTGAATCTGAGGGAGAGATGGAGATTCACTTGAATTTCACTCACACATGTACTTGTAGGGGTTGTTCAGTGGTAATTTAGTCTGTCCTCTTTGTCCTAGCTGCAGGGGGTGGGAGGAAGGATCTACTGTAGTGGAGGGTATCTGGCTGGTGTGGATCTTCTGGAGGTCCAGGCTGGCTGGATGGATTCTGCTCCTGGCTTTTAAGCAGATCCCTGTAGAACAGTCATGGTCTATCGAATACTGTTCACTAGTGTTCCAGTTAGTTTGCCAAGTTGCCTTTTTAAGCACTTGGTTCAATTTGAGTAGTTTTGTAACATGCCAGTCTCTGCTAGGGAACGGGATGAGAAATACTGGTAAAAAACATAGAAAATCATGATAAAATGCTACAGTCCAGTTCAAAGACAAGCTACAAAAAAGAAGGAATAGTATCTTATCTACAGGATAAGATAAGGAATAGTATTACTGATGTCAAAAGGTCAGAAATTCTGTTAATCCAGAAATAAATCCCATCTGTTAAAACGGATTCCAATGCAGAGTGTTTTGTTGCCCCAGGGTTCCTCCAGCATCATCTCACCCCTCAGCCCTCTACCTCCCTGACTCCATTATCTCCCTCCCACACAGCCACAGCAGGCTCTCCTCTCTGTGCTGTGGAGATCACCCTCAGGCCCTCAACCTGGTCTCAGTTTCAGACATACCCTCTTCAGTCATATAACGCACTCCGCAGGTGTGGCTACTTTACCAGGATGGATTACCAGGACGTGTACTCAAAGCATGCGTGGACCAACTGGCAAGTGTCTTCACTGACATTTTCAACCTCTCCCTGACCGAGTCTGTAATACCTACATGTTTCAAGCAGACCACCATAGTCACTGTGCCCAAGAATGCGAAGGTAACCTGCCTAAATGACTACCGCCCCGTAGCACTCACGTCGGTAGCCATGAAGTGCTTTGAAAGGCTGGGCATGGCTCACATCAACACCATCATCCTGGAAACCCTAGACCCACTCCAATTCGCCCCAACAGATCCACAGATGACGCAATCTCAACACACTGCCCTTTCCCACCTGGACAAAAGGAACACCTATGTGAGAATGCTGTTCATTGACTACAGCTCAGCGTTCAACACCATAGTGCCCACAAAGTTCATCACTAAGCTAAAGACCCTGGGACTAAACACCTCCCTCTGCAACTGGATCCTGGACTTCCTGACGGGCCACCCCCAGGTGGTAAGGGTAGGCAACACTACATCTGCCACGCTGATCCTCAACACCGGGGCCCCTCAGGGGTGCGTGCTTAGTCCCCTCCTGTACTCCCTGTTCACCCACGAATGCGTGGCCAAGCACGACTCCAACACCATCATTAAGTTTGCAGACGACACAACAGTGGTACGCCTGATCACCGACAACGATGAGACAGCCTATAGGGAGGAGGTCAGAGACCTGGCAGTGTGGTGCCAGGACAACAACCTCTCCCTCAATGCGAGCAAGACAAATGAGATGATCGAGGACTACAGAAAAAGGAGGGCCGAACAGGCCCCCATTAACATTGACGGGGCTGTAGTGGAGCGGGTAGAGAGTTTCAAGTTCCTTGGTGTCCACATCACCAACAAACTATCATGGTCCAAACACACCAAGACAGTCATGAAGAGGACATGACAACACCTTTTCCCCCTCAGGAGACTGAAAAGATTTGGCATGGGTCCCCAGATCCTCAAAAAGTTCTACAGCTGCACCATCGAGAGCATCCTGACCGGTTGCTTCACCGCCTGGTATGGCAACTGCTCGGCATCCGACCGCAAGGCGCTACAGAGGGTAGTGCATACGGCCCAATACCTCACTGGGGCCAAGCTTTCTGCCATCCAGGACCTATATACCAGGCGTGTCAGAGGAAGGCCCAAAAAATTGTCAAAGACTCCAGTCACCCAAGTTATAGACTGTTCTCTCTGCTGATGCACGGCAAGCGGTACCAGAGCGCCAAGTCTAGGTCCAAAAGGCTACTTAACAGCTTCTACCCCCAAGCTATAAGACTGCTGAACAATTAATCAAATGTCAAAGGCCACCCGGACTATTTACATTGACCCCCCCACCCTTTGTTTTTATACTGCTGCTACTCGATGTTTATTATCTATGCATAGTCACTTTACCCCTACCTAAATGTACAAATTACCTCGACTAACCTGTATCCCCGCACATTGACTCGGTTCCGGAACCCCCTGTATATAGCCTCGTTATTGTTATGTAATTTTATTGTGTTACTTTTTATTTTATTTTTTGCTTTAGTTTAAATATTTTCTTAACTCTATTTCTTGATCTGCATTGTTGGTTAAGGGCTTGTAAGTAAACATTTCACGGTAAGGCACATGTGACAAATAAAAATTGATTTGATTTGATTCTTGAACTCTTCTAGCTGTAGAAGAGTTATTTCCTTTGTTGTTAGTCCTTTGTTGTTCTCCATTATGATTGACAATGTATTCTCCCAGGTGAGACCTTTAGGTTGCGAGTTCGAATCTCATCATGGACAACTTTAGCATTTTAGCTAATTAGCAACTTTTAAACTACTTACTACTTTTTAGCTACTTTGCAACTACTTAGCATGTTAGCTCTTCCACAGTGCCCCATCATCCGCAAACAGTGACCTCCCAATATCAGGTCTCACCTGGGAGAATACATTGTCAATCATAATGGAGAACAACAAAGGACTAATGACACTTCCCTGGGGGGTACCATTATCTACCTCATAGCTTTCTGACATAGAGCTCCCCACCCTCACTTGTATTGATCGCCCAAAAAGGCATGTGGGAGACTCCCCAAGCATATGTTAGAAGTTACTCTTGTCAGATGAGACTAAAATTGAGCTTTTTGGCCATCAAGGAAAACGCTATGTCTGGGGCAAACCCAACACCTCTCATCACCCCGAGAACACCATCCCCACAGTGAAGCATGGTGGTGGCAGCATCATGTTGTGGGGATGTTTTTCCATCGGCAGGGACTGGGAAACTGGTCAGAATTGAAGGAATGATGGATGGCGCTAAATACAGGGAAATTCTTGAGGGAAACCTGTTTCAGTCTTCCAGAGATTTGAGACTGGGATGGAGGTTCACCTTCCAGCAGGACAATGACCCTAAGCATACTGCTAAAGCAACACTTGAGTGGTTTAAGGGGAAACATTTAAATGTCTTGGAATGGCCTAGTCAAAGCCCAGACCTCAATCCAATTGAGAATCTGTGGTATGACTTACAGTGAGGGAAAAAAGTATTTGATCCCCTGCTGATTTTGTACATTTGCCCACTGACAAAGAAATGATCAGTCTATACTTTTAATGGTAGGTTTATTTGAACAGTGAGAGACAGAATAACAACAAAATAATCCAGAAAAACGCATGTCAAAAATGTTATAAATTGATTTGCATTTTAACTCTCCAAGGATGTCAGCGACAAGATTGTAGACTTACACAAGGCTGGAATGGGCTACAAGACCATCGCCAAGCAGCTTGGTGAGAAGGTGACAACAGTTGGTGCGATTATTCGCAAATGGAAGAAACACAAAATAACTGTCAATCTCCCTCGGCCTGGGGCTCCATGCAAGATCTCACCTCGTGGAGTTGCAATGATGAGAACGGTGAGGAATCAGCCCAGGATCTTGTCAATGATCTCAAGGCAGCTGGGACCATAGTCACCATGAAAACAATTGGTAACACACTACGCCGTGAAGGACTGAAATCCTGCAGCGCCCGCAAGGTCCCCCTGCTCAAGAAAGCACATATACAGGCCCGTCTGAAGTTTGCCAATGAACATCTGAATGATTCAGAGGAGAACTGGGTGAAAGTGTTGTGGTCAGATGAGACCAAAATCGAGCTCTTTGGCATCAACTCAACTCGCCGTGTTTGGAGGAGGAGGAATGCTGCCTATGACCCCAAGAACACCATCCCCACCGTCAAACATGGAGGTGGAAACATTATGCTTTGGGGTCGTTTTTCTGCTAAGGGGAGAGGACAACTTCACTGCATCAAAGGGACGATGGACGGGGCCATGTACCATCAAATCTTGGGTGAGAACCGCCTTCCCTCAGCCAGGGCATTGAAAATGGGTTGTGGATGGGTATTCCAGCATGACAATGACCCAAAACACACGGCCAAGGCAACAAAGGAGTGGCTCAAGAAGAAGCACGTTAAGGTCCTGGAGTGGCCTAGCCAGTCTCCAGACCTTAATCCCATAGAAAATCTGTGGAGGGAGCTGAAGGTTCGAGTTGCCAAACATCAGCCTCGAAACCTTAATGACTTGGAGAAGATCTGCAAAGAGGAGTGGGACAAAATCCCTCCTGAGATGTGTGCAAACCTGGTGGCCAACTACAAGAAACGTCTGACCTCTGTGATTGCCAACAAGGGTTTTGCCACCAAGTACTAAGTCATGTTTTGCAGAGTGGTCAAATACTTATTTCCCTCATTAAAATGCAAATCAATTTATAACATTTTTTACATGCATTTTTCTGGATTTTTGTTGTTGTTATTCTGTCTCTCACTGTTCAAATAAACCTACCATTAAAATCATAGACTGATCATTTCTTTGTCAGTGGGCAAACGTACAAAATCAGCAGGGGATCAAATACTTTTTCCCCCTCACTATATGTGGCCGACGCAGGCACACACAATAAAGCCATGAATAGCGGTAGCATTAATCGCACCATTGAATCTCACCATAGCTGTTTTTATCATGATAAAGTGACCAAAAACCATGTTCCTCTTTTAATGGAAGCATTTGTATGGAAAGCCAAGTTGAAGCCAGCATTAGATGTTGTCGTCCTCATAATAACCGCACGTGGTTCTACTTCAACAGAGTAGCGCAACACCCTTCAATTGAAGCGGGGGAAACAAACGAAAGTGGCTACATCTCTAACAAAAACAGATAAAAAATTAAATCACAGATAATTATAAGGGAGCAGGAGAACTTATAGATCTGATTAAAATAATTACAAGCACTTTTCAAGAACCAAATTGAGGAAATGTCTGATTTTCAAGGTAGGCCTATTCCACTAAGCCTACTTGAATTTCTGAGCTCCACATTCAAGTAGGCTATTTCATTGCAGGTGTAACATGGAAAGCAAAATGTATTTGTTATGTTATTTCATTACCAGATAATTGTGAATAAGCCCACTAGGCTATGCAATTTGTTGTCATTATATCCATAATAATTAATAGGAATAGCAATGGGTGTGTCGCAATAATTTAATCCATTTTAGAATAAGGCTGTAACATAACAAAATGTGGAAAAAGTCAAGGGGTCTGAACACTTTCCGAATTCACTGTAGATCCAATCTGGATCCAGGCACAACTTTCTTCACTGGTGTAAAGAATGAGACACTAAAATATTCTGGACATTCCTTGCGAACACCTTTTTTTCACTTCACTGTTCTTCACTTCACTGTAATTCAGAAAATTCCTTCCTGGAATCAGATGATGATGTGGGAAAATATTACCATGTAACTAATCAGCTGGAAACCAAATGTATATCCAACAAGTATTATGCATAATTATTGAATAACCACTTTAATGACTGTATCATTTGGGTTTTAAGTATCAAGGTAAGGCGACTCTTTCGGTTAGAAGCATTTGATTTTGCAATCCAAAATCGCATACATAATTATGGATTTGTGTGCCTGTGAAACCCCTAACATAAGGAGACACAATGTTAAGTACAAAAAACTGTCAGAGAGCTAGATCCAGGATTCTTACAGGGTTGAAGTTCAATGTCTAATTTAACTGATTAATGCTTAATATATTATATAACCTGTGGTGTGTATTCGTGGATGCCAAGGGAAGCCAGGCTAACACAAAAAATTGACAAAAAACACACAAAAAATTATTTCATCTCTCTGTGTTTCATAATTTTCCTTCAATTCGCAAGAGGCTGAATGTATCTCAGAGGAGAAAGCATCCGAGCGAGCGAAACAGCGCCCCTCTGTCTCTCTACGTGTAGGCCATCTATCTGATGCCGTCTGGTCCAAACGAGTATGACATTGTTGCCGCCCTGTAGCATTGAAGGCAAGGGAAGCCAGCGAGCATCTGAACTCTTGACAAAAAAAGTATACAAAATTAGCCAATCAGCGTTGAGCTAAACTGAGCGAGTTCAACTGTGAATGGCCCTGGAGCACCAAAAAAAGTGTCAAGGTATACCATCTTGAATTGCATCCCTACTATCAAATTCCATTGAGAGCATACGTCATTGACAGAAAAACTTGAATTGTTGCATTTCATTGTGTTGTCCCTTTCCTAAATTGGCCATGGATGGAGATAGGGATTTGGACTTGTGGTTTTACTTAATTCTCCGTACTGGCCAATGATTATAACGGCGATTCTGATCCAACCATTAATTCATACAGTGTTGTTCCCCTGGCCTGAGAGGATGGAAGTTAAATATGTAGCTAGATGTAGAAGGCTGATGTTAACTACCTAACGTTGCCCATTAATGGAAGTTAAGCTAGCGAGCAAGCATTTTAGCCAGGTAGCCTAGGACAACAAAAAATAAAAGCGTGTACTGTATGACAGAGAGACCGTTTCGTCAACATGAAAGAGAGGAAGATGGCATTGGCGTTTCTCTGCAAGTAGGGTGAGTCAACATGTTTTTCTACTTCCACGAACACGAACGCGCACGCACACACACACACACACACACACAGAAATCAGAACCATGGACAGCCAAATCATATTTAGCTTACGTTGATTGGACTAAATTGATTTTGGTATCTTTTAGTTGTCACTGTATTAGACTAAGCAGAGGTGATTTGATGATGTTGAAATGTTGCTGGAATAGTGGAGGCAGGTCCTGTTTTCTTTGCGACTTGCGGTAACTCTGTGGTTCTAAATCAATAGTTATTGTCTCGGCCTTTAGGCTTATACTGTATATCACGGTCGCAAGGTATATGAACTAACAGGTTATTGAGCAAACAATGCAATTTTCACAACACATACGTTGTAATATTTGTATTTTTTTGGGGGGGGGGGGGGGGGGGGGTTCCCATTGATTTTTCCCATGCACCGCTACTGGATATAGGGACAACTTAACACTGCCATAAATGCAAGGACAGACAAGTCATGTTTTGTCACACAATTTTGGACAAATCAGTCAAGACACCGACCATGATAAATAGTTAAACATAGGTTTTAAATCAACTCGTGAATTTGATTGACTATAGCTATGATCCCCCCTTATATCTTAATGTAATGACATGAAAAAGATTGGCCGATTATTATCAATGACTTATCAACAGCTGTAACAAGTTGTCCAGTGGTAAGAAATCCTCACTGGTACTCTAGTTTATATACTGAACAAAAATATAAACGCAACATGCAACAATTTCAAAGATTTGACTGAGTTACAGTTCATATAAAGAAATCAGTCAATTTAAATAAATAAATTAGGCCCTAATCTATGGATTTCACATGACCTGGGAATACAGATATGCATCCGTTGGTCACAGATACCTTAAAAAAAGGTAGGGGCGTGGATCAGAAAACCAGTCAGTATCTGGTGTGACCACCATTTGCCTCATGCAGCACACAATCTCCTTTGCATAGAGTTGATCAAGCTGTTGATTGAGGCCTGTGGAATACTGTCCCACTCCTCTTCAATGGCTGTGCGAAGTTGATGGATATTGGCGGGAACTGGAACACGCTGTCGTACACGTCGATCCAGAGCATCCCAAACATGCTCAATAGGTAACATGCCCGCCAAATTCTCTACAATGACATTTGGAGGTGGCTTATGGTAGATAAATTAACATTCAATTCTGGCAACAGCTCTGGTGGACATTCCTGCAGTCAGCATGACAAATGCACGCTCCCTCAAAACTTGAGGCATCTGTGGCATTGTGTTGTGTGACAAAACTGCACGAGTGGCCTTTTGTCCCCAGCACAAGGTGCACCTGTGTAATGATCATTCTGTTTAGTCAGCTTTTTGATATGCCACACCTGCCAGGTGGATGGATTATCTTGACAAATGAGATGCTAACAGGGATGTAAACAAATGTGCACAAAATTAGAGAAATAAGATTTCTGTGCATATGGAACATTTCTGGGATCTTTTATTTCAGCTCATGAAACATGGGAACAACACTTTACGTTGCGTTTATACACTGAGTATAAAAAACATTAAGAACACCTGCTCTTTCCACCAGGTGAATCCAGGTGAAAGCTATGATCCCTTATTGATGCCACTGGTTAAATCCACTTCAAATCAGTGTAGATTAAGAAGAGGAGAAAGATTAAAGAAGGATTTTAAAGCCTTGAGACATGGATTGTGGATGTGTGCCATTCAGACGGTGAATGGGCAAGACAAAATATTTAAATGCCTTTGAACGGGGTATTACATTTACGTCATTTAGCAGACGCTCTTATCCAGAGTGACTTACAAATTGGTGCATTCAACTTATGATAGCCAGTGGGACAACCACTTTTTTATTTATTTTTTAATGGGGGGTGGGGGTAGAAGGATTACTTTTATACTATTCCAGGTATTCCTTAAAGAGGTAGGGTTTCAAGTGTCTCCGGAAGGTGGTCAGTGACTCCGCTGTCCTGGCGTCGTGGGGGAGCTTGTTCCACCATTGGGGTGCCAGAACAGCGAATAGCTTTGACTGGGCTGAGCGGGAACTGTGCTTCCGTAGAGGTAGGGGAGCTAGCAGGCCAGAGGTGGATGAACGTAGCGCCCTCGTTTGGGTGTAGGGCCTGAAGGTAAGGAGGTGCCGTTCCCCTCACAGCTCTGTAGGCAAGCACCATGGTCTTGTAGTAGATGCGAGCCTCAACTGGAAGCCAGTGGAGTGTGCGGAGGAGTGGGGTGACATGAGAGAACTTGGGAAGGTTGAACACCTGACGAGCTGCAGCGTTCTGGATATGTTGTAGGGGTTTAATGGCACATGCAGGGAGCCCAGCCAACAGCAAGTTGCAGTAATCCAGACAGGAGATGACAAGTGCCTGAATTAGGACCTGTGCTGCTTTCTGTGTAAGGTAGGGTCGTACTCTGCGAATGTTGTAGAGCATGAACCTGCAGGATCGGGTCACCGCTTTGATGTTAGCGGAGAACGACAGGGTGTTGTCCAGGGTCAGGCCAAGGTTCTTTGCACTCTGGGAGGAGGACACAATGGAGTTGTCAACCGTGATGGCGAGATCATGGAGCGGGCAGTCCTTCACCGGGAGGAAGAGCAGCTCCGTCTTGCCGAGGTTCAGCTTGAGGTGGTGATCCGACATCCACACTGATATGTCTGCTAGACATGCAGAGATGCGATTCGCCACCTAGTTATCAGAAGGGGGAAAGGAGAAAATTAATTGTGTGTCGTCTGCGTAGCAATGATAGGAGAGACCATGTGAGGATATGACAGAGCCAAGTGACTTGGTGTATAGAGAGAATAGGAGAGGGTCTAGAACTGAGCCCTGGGGGACACCAGTGGTGAGAGCACATGGTGCGGAGACAGATTCTCACCACGGCACCTGGTAGGAGTGACCTGTCAGGTAGGACACAATCCAAGAGTGAGCAGCGCCGGAGATGCCCAACTCGGAGAGGGTGGAGAGGAGGATCTGATGGTTCACAGTATCAAAGGCAGCGGATAGGTCTAGAAGGATAAGAGCAGAGGAGAGAGAGTTAGCTTTAGCAGTGCGGAGAGCCTCCGTGACACAGAGAAGAGCAGTCTCAGTTGAATGACCAGTCTTGAAACCTGACTGGTTTGGATCAAGAAGGTCATTCTGAGAGAGATAGCAGGAGAGTTGGCTAGAGATGGCACGCTCAAGAGTTGGAGAGAAAAGAAAGAAGGGATACTGGTCTGTAGTTGTTGACATCAGAGGGATCGAGTGTAGGTTTTTTTAGGAGGGGTGCAACTCTCGCTCTCTTAAAGACGGAAGGGACATGGCCAGCGGTCAAGGATGAGTTGATGAGCGAGGTGAGGTAAGGGAGAAGGTCTCAGGAAATGGTCTGGAGAAGAGAGGAGGGAATAGGGTCAAGCGGGCAGGTTGTTGGGCAGCCGGCCGTCACAAGTCGCAAGATTTCATCATTCTTTTCAAAAATGGTTGACGAAGTCATCCACAGAGAGGGAGGAGGGAGGGGGAGGAGGAGGAGGATTCAGCAGGGAGGAGAAGGTGGCAAAGAGCTTCCTAGGGTTAGAGGCAGAAGCTTGAAATTTAAAGTGGTAGAAAGTGGCTTTAGCAGCAGAAACAGAGGAAGAGAATGTAGAGGAGTCTAGTTTTCCTCCATTTCCGCTCGGCTGCCCAGAGCCCTGTTCTGTGAGCTCGCAATGAGTCATCAAGCCACGGAGCAGGAGGGGAGGACCGAGCCGGCCGGGAGGATAGGGGACATAGAGTCAAAAGATGCAGAAAGGGAGGAGAGGAGGGTTGACGAGGCAGAATCAGGAGATCGGAGGGAGAAGGATTTAGCAGAGGGAAGAGTTGATAGGATGGAAGAGGAGAGAGTAGCGGGAGAGAGAGAGCGAAGGTTGCGACGGCACATTACCAACTGAGTAGGGGCAGAGTGAGTAGTGTTGGAGGAGAGCGAGAGAGAAAAGGATACAAAGTAGTGGTTGGAGACTTGGAGGGGAGTTGCAGTGAGATTAGTAGAAGAACAGCATCTAGTAAAGATTAGGTCAAGCGTGTTGCCTGCCTTGTGAGTAGGGGGACGGGACGGTGAGAGGGGTGAGGTCAAAAGAGGAAAGGAGTGGAAAGAAGGAGGCAGAGAGAAATGAGTCAAAGGCAGACGTAGGGAGGTTAAAGTCACCCAGAACTGTGAGGGGTGAGCCATCCTCAGGAAAGGAACTTATCAAGGCGTCAAGCTCATTGATGAACTCTCCAAGGGAACCTGGAGGGCGATAAACGATAAGGATGTTAAGCTTGAATGGGCTAGTGACTGTGACAGCATGGAATTCAAATGAGGAGATAGACAGATGGGTCAGGGGAAAAAGAGAATGTCCACTTGGGAGAGATGAGGATTCCTGTGCCACCGCCACGCTGACCAGATGCTCTCGGGGTATGCGAGAACACATGATCAGACGAGGAAAGAGCAGTAGGAGTAGCAGTGTTTTCTGTGGTAATCCATGTTTCCGTCAGAGCCAAGAAGTCGAGGTATGGTAGTAGATGCCAGGCGCACCGGTTTGTGTCAAGAACTGCAACTCGGCTGGGTTTTTCACGCTCAACAGTTTCCTGTGTGTATCAAGAATGGTCCACTATCCAAAGGACATCCAGCGAACTTGACACAACTGTGTGACGCATTGCAGTCAACATGGGCCAGCATCCTTGTGGAACGCTTTCGGCACCTTGTAGAGTCCATTCCCCGACGAATTGAGCTGTTCTGTTCTGCAACTCAATATAAGGAAGGTGTTCCTAATGTTTGGTATACTCAAATGTATTTTTCTACAGTGTAGAAAGACAACACTTTTATCCATTCGAGAGGGGTGGATTTTTCTTTTGTTTAACTTCCTTTATAGCGACAAATTATGGAAACTGTGTTTTTCGAATAAATGATGATTGGCAAATATTTTTGAAGGTACGCGCGGCACGTGATGTCAACACAACTCTAAATGCCTACTGCCTGCTAAATCAATTTTTTTAACTATAAAAAGTATGTTTCTTTGCAGGATCCTTTTCCTGACTTTAAAGAATGGCTTAATTGCTTTTCTGGTTGGCTGGATGCAGGTTTCCCCATCCAATTATTTCCAGTGCAAGTTTCACCATGGCACGGACCGTGGCAATATGTTGGCACATGAGAATTACTAGAATATGGCAAATATTCTTGCATTCTATCCTTGCTACCGGTTACATGAAACAGATAGGTGGGAGGGCATACAGGCTGTCGCCAATTTATGAATGCACAATTTGCCTAAATGGGTAACACTTCAACCACTACATTTTTATTCATCACTGTAGGTTTGTGTTTATATCAACACAAGATAGTTAAATGGAAACGCACCCTAGCAGTCACTTGTCTCATCTGTTTTTATGCGAACTTTCTAAATGTCACCCCCCACCGCCCAAAAAAATGAAAGAATCACAGGACAAGTTAATGGAAACATAGCTAGTGAGTATGTTTACAGTGGGGGGGAAAAGTATTTAGTCAGCCACCAATTGTGCAAGTTCTCCCACTTAAAAAGATGAGAGAGGCCTGTAATTTTCATCATAGATACACGTCAACTATGACAGACAAATTGAGAATTTTCTTTCCAGAAAATCACATTGTAGGATTTTTAATTAAATGTATTTGCAAATTATGGTGGAAAATAAGTATTTGGTCACCTACAAACAAGCAAGATTTCTGGCTCTCACAGACCTGTAACTTCTTCTTTAAGAGGCTCCTCTGTCCTCCACTCGTTACCTGTATTAATGGCACCTGTTTGAACTTGTTATCAATATAAAAGACACCTGTCCACAACCTCAAACAGTCACACTCCAAACTCCACTATGGCCAAGACCAAAGAGCTGTCAAAGGACACCAGAAACAAAAATTGTAGACCTGCACCAGGCTGGGAAGACTGAATCTGCAATAGGTAAGCAGCTTGGTTTGAAGAAATCAACTGTGGGAGCAATTATTAGGAAATGGAAGACATACAAGACCACTGATGATCTCCCTCGATCTGGGGCTCCACGCAAGATATCACCCCGTGGGGTCAAAATGATCACAAGAACGGTGAGCAAAAATCCCAGAACCACACGGGGGGGACCTAGTGAATGACCTGCAGAGAGCTGGGACCAAAGTAACAAAGCCTACCATCAGTAACACACTACGCCGCCAGGGACTCAAATCCTGCAGTGCGAGACGTGTCCCCCTGCTTAAGCCAGTACATGTCCAGGCCCGTCTGAAGTTTGCTAGAGTGCATTTGGATGATCCAGAAGAGGATTGGGAGAATGTCATATGGTCAGATGAAACCAAAATATAACTTTTTGGTAAAAACTCAACTCGTCGTGTTTGGAGGACAAAGAATGCTGAGTTGCATCCAAAGAACACCATACCTACTGTGAAGCATGGGGGTGGAAACATCATGCTTTGGGGCTGTTTTTCTGCAAAGGGACCAGGACGACTGATCCGTGTAAAGGAAAGAATGAATGGGGCCATGTATCGTGAGATTTTGAGTGAAAACCTCCTTCCATCAGCAAGGGCATTGAAGATGAAACGTGGCTGGGTCTTTCAGCATGACAATGATCCCAAACACACCACCCGGGCAACGAAGGAGTGGCTTCGTAAGAAGCATTTCAAGGTCCTGGAGTGGCCAAGCCAGTTTCCAGATCTCAACCCCATAGAAAAGCTTTGGAGGGAGTTGAAAGTCCGTGTTGCCCAGCGACAGCCCCAAAACATCACTGCTCTAGAGGAGATCTGCATGGAGGAATGGGCCAAAATACCAGCAACAGTGTGTGAAAACCTTGTGAAGACTTACAGAAAACGTTTGACCTGTGTCATTGCCAACAAAGGGTATATAACAAAGTATTGAGAAACTTTTGTTATTGACCAAATACTTATTTTCCACCATCATTTGCAAATAAATTCATTTAAAAAATCCTACAATGTGATTTTCTGGATTTTTTCCCCCTCATTTTGTCTGTCATAGTTGACGTGTACCTATGATGAAAATTACAGGCCTCTCTCATCTTTTTAAGTGGGAGAACTTGCACAATTGGTGGCTGACTAAATACTTTTTTTCCCCACTGTACATGCACGCTAATAATTTGATATTAAACCGATTATGGCAGTAGGCCGAGTATGGCATTAGTCATGTAGACACCTTACTCTGCTCATCTTAAAATCGGCCTAAGGACATAATCGAAGCAAGCATACAGCGATTAAAACACTTGATTATCTGAGCAATCTTTCAGATTAGTAGGACATGTAAATGCCTTAATCAGAGTTAAAGCGGTTTATTTGATCTGTCCATGTGCTAGCACGAACAGCGCAAGCTTCCTTCTTTTTGATTTGTGAAGTGAGTTCGGAAAAACAAAGTATTAATCTTAGAAATAGTTAACATATAAAGTTTGTGTGTCCGAACTCAGAATCAAATAGGCTTCACAAAAATAACATGGTCGCTGTGGTAGAACGTTTATTTTGATTGGCGATTTTCTGCCTTTATCAAAGTCCCATCAGGTAGTCTGATTTCAGATGTGTTCATTTAAACAGGATTATTATGGAAATCATTCTTCTTGCAAAGCATGTAAAAGTTTAAATGAAACCATTATAGTAATCTGACTATTCACAATCTTATTGTGTGCATGTAACCGTACTCATTTCTCTCAGTAGTGTTGCTATTGTCAAAATGTTCGCGTGTCAATTAACTTGTGACATTCCTGGATTACTCATTATATTAATAGTCAGATTTAATCAACAAATACAATAGGCAGTTAAAAAAAGGTTAAGGGTACAAGACTGTGTACATATCTGGCTGTGTTAGCAGAATCACTACATATCCCATCGAGCCAAGCGAGGAGAGTCTGCGAGTTATCACAGTTCCAAGACCAGTCAGAAACATCCAGCTAACCCTACGCCAATGACGCCGGTGGATCTCCAAACTGAACTTGGATCTGTGTTAAGTAGCAATGCTATCCTTCCCCACCGTCGTCTTACGACATATCTCGAACCAGTCATGACTATCCAACAAAACAATAAATACATGTACGTTTATTTCTGGCAAATTTCTTAGTTACATGATTGTATAACTACGAAATAAGTTTTGAAGTTGAGGGTGCAGTATTTATGAAGTTTGGCAATGAGGACGAAAACTAGCATTGTTCAGCTAGCCAGCTAGTTTGGCCAGGGAAAACGAGCTCGGACCTAGCCCTGATATCAGGAGCTGGCGGCGAAAAGTTTGATTAAACAATTCAGAGACTGAAACAAATAAATCAGATGACATATTTAAGGAGAGGAAATCGATATACAATCCCGAAATCAGCTGTAAATGTCAATAGTAAAATAATGCTTAAAACTATGTTTGAGTGAACCCTGAACTGTGTAAGAGGACAGCAGGGTGGATAAATATAAAAAGCACAGAGGAAATGTAGCATTGGATACTAGGCAGTGGAGGCTGGTGGGAGGTGGTATAGGAGGACAGGCTCATTGTAATGGTTGGAATGGAAAAAATTGAACGATATCAAACATATGGAAATGACATGTTTGACTCAGTTCCATTCATTCTATTTCAGCCATACCAAATTAGCCCGTCCTCCTATAGATCCTGCCACCAGCCTCCACTGATACTAGGATGGTAGAAGAGGCAGAGGAGAAACATATAGTGAGAAATGGCCGATATGAACATAGTGCATCTGCCATTACTGATGTTTTACCTTCAACACCACCACCAAAGACAGATATGGATCATAGAGTCCTTTCACCCCACCAGGGTCAAGGCTATAGATATATGGATCATAGAGTCCTTTCCCCCCACCAGGGTCAAGGCTATAGAGATGTTTTATGATGAAAGCTGATAAAAGACCACTTATGCAAAAGTTAACTGGTTGTCAAAGTCAGCCCTGGAGGACCCCTGTTTGTTTGACCATGTTTCCACATAATTAGGTAGTGAAGGTTGAACCACAATCTTGCCTGCAAACACAAGGGAACTCCATGCCTGGCTTTGAAACAAGGAGACAAGAAAGTAGCCTGATGCTCCACCATCACTACTACACAGACTCACTAATATGACACCTTGTCCTTGATACTGCAATCTGGGTCTCACTCCACACTCACTACTCCTCTGGTATACTGTATCTTCACAGAAGTTTTCCACAGCAATATACTATACATACCAATGTGTCATATGTTAAATATGAGGTATCGTCATCATAGTTGTATCTTCTACTGCACACAGTATAGTACACAACAAGAATGGCTTTAGGAGCATTTAAATACAAACATACCTTAAAATTCCATTACAGGTCCTCCACAGCCAGCCAACTCATCGGGACATGATAGCTTTGAGAGAGGCTCATGTCCAAAAATGTGAATGTCTTCAGACCATCTACAAGCAAGGGGAGGGGGGGATTGAAAGGATAGCAGGCCGTACAGTCATCCGATAGGGAGATGATGACTGAAAGCAAAACATTTGCGTGATATTTATGATTTCGTTAAGAGTGATCTAGTCACCAGTCTGGTCGTGACTACAGAGTGACTGACTACCTGACATACAGTATCTTACAGATTCATAGCCTCGGCTCCTCTACTGAGAGAGAGAGCACACATTCACACTGCTAATACACAGCTGCATTCAGTTGGTCAATGCAGTCAATAGAAAACAATGAGCATTGATGAGCACGTAATGGAATTAACAGTTCTCTAGGCTCCATTAAAGGAAAAAAATAAAATAAAAATGTCCACACCAAATAAAGCTTTAGAAATTGCACTCGTCTCCACGTTATTCCCAGGTCCTTATCCTTGTGATATTTACATTCAGTAGTTAGTCCAGGATGGGATAAAAAAAAAGTCAAATAAAGTTCCATCAAAAACTGAAAAGAAAATATGTTTCTGTTACTTGACATTACTACTGCAATGCAAAGGCAGAAGACCACCAGTATCTGTTCTCTGATAAAGACATCACCTTTATTATCACAAAATCCCCAAAAGGTTTCTGGTTCACTGAGATTGTCTGTCTGTGTCTGCGACAACCATCTTCTGCCCCCTGCAGATAGAGTCTAGTCATGGTGGCCACCTGCTCTTACAGGCTGAATTTACAGTTCAGGGTGTGTGTGTGTGTGTAGTGTGTGTGTGTTGTATACACAGGTGGGACCAGGAAGCCCCAGCGTGGCCACCCCTCTGTGCACTGGGAGGCAGTCTTCCTATAGAATAAAACTGAACAGAGCAGGACCAGGTGTGACCAGAACTGGTCTGGGTGGGTCTGGTCTGGTGTGGAGGTGTGTATCTGGGCCCGGCTAGCGCAGTTTGAGCCTGAAGGCTGAGATCTCCATGGGCTCCAAGCTGACGGAGGAGTCGTTGGCCAGAGGGGGGCTGGAGTACATCAGGGACAGAGACACGGGCTGTAGCAGCTGGAGGTCCAGGTTACGGAACAGAGACGACACACCCAGCTGGAGGGACAGACACAAGGAGAGAGATGTAGAGAGAGAGAGAGATAGATGTAGAGAGAGAGAGAGATAGATGTAGAGAGAGAGAGAGATAGATGTAGAGAGAGAGAGAGATAGATGTAGAGAGAGAGAGAGTGACAGATACAGTTTGTGAAAGAGGGGTAGAGAGTGTGTATGATAGAATAACCTTTCCAGACTGCTATAATGACTCCAACTGCATGTGTGTGTGTGCAACCTACAGCACTATCCAGTTGTGTCTGTGGTGAGCCATGTGTGTGTGTGGTGGAGGACCACTGACCTGTCCCTCAGTAGTGGTACAGTTGATGCCGGGGTTTGGGGTCTCCAGACCACAGTCCAGACCCTTTCTATGCAGGATGAGGGCCGTGTAGGGAGACGGGGAGTGGGTGTCCTGCTACAAGTCACACAAACAGCAAAGCAGAAACATGTTAGCATCAATGGTAAACACACAGAACCCTACATGTATTACATCTTCCAGTATATTGACATTCCACAAAAAGGATAATTACTTTTTCACTTCTAGTTACCTGGTGCTGGATGCTGCGCAGGTTGATCACGTGGAAGTCACAGGGCAGGGCCCCTGTGAGGGGGGCGAAGGTGTGCAGGGAAGGGATGCCACGCTTCTTGGGCAGCACAGGCAGCGCCAGCACCTCGTGGTTGAGAATGGCAGAGGTCATGTGACTGAGCAGGGAGGGGAAGCTGGTTGGTCCGCTGTCCACCACCTGGGAGGCAGAGAAACACGTCACAACAGACACACCACAGGTCATATCTGACAACTAACCCCGTCCCACCCTGCTTAGCTTCAGCACTCAACACAGCATGGAAGCTGCAGAGCTGAAAACAATCATTTTAAGCGCATATCCAATTCCAGGATGCTTGCAATGCTGCTATGGTGGACCTTTGGCTACAGGGTAGAGGGCAGCTAAACACAGGTTAAACTAGAAGGTAAGAACTACAGCTATAGCACAGATTACACAGACAGACAGCCAGCTACGGCTGGGTAGCTAGCAACCTCACTGTTGCCGTGGCAATGTTACCTCTTGAGCGCTGCCTCTCAGGGCAAAGGGGATGAGCAAGTGAAACATGGAGGAGAGTTTGGCAAAGAAGCCAGCATGCTGAGTGCAATGGAAGAGCAGACAGACAGAGGGATGACAGAAAAAAATGGAAGGAGGTGACAAAAGAATGGAGAGACAGGGGTTAACAATCACAGCATGATTGACGAGACATTTTCAACAACTGCTGATTAACAGAATTCCTGGCTTACCCACTGTTTCCCCTCAGACTAGATTGGCTTCATTTGCTTGGATTTGAGACCTATAAACAAGATCCAGGAAGCTCCAGTAACTCGCATCTGAGGACTTTTAACTGACTGACCTTGTTGCCAGTGGACCTACTCTCCAGTAGGAGGCGGAAGCGGTTGGCCGTCTTCTTGTTGTCCTTCAGGCCCTGGCCCAGGCCGCGGTTATCATCCTGCATCAGCCGCCGGTCCAGAATCACCTCCAACTGGCCTGAGGGAGGGAAAAGCAGAGACATGCACATATAGCTCCATCATAGATAGACAGAGGACTCTAGAATCTGGATAGAACACGATTTATGATTGACATTGCCATTGAGGACTTGCACTATTTTAAAGTTGAGGACTTCCACCATTCTAACTGGGTGGGAATTCCTATGGGTTGGGAGCATTCAGTCAATGATCAGAGCATTGTCTTCTTCAAATTGGGTTGCCTATGGATGGTAAATGGCGTTATCCCTGCCTCTGTTTCGGTAAAAAGCTGAGGTATGGGGCTAGAGTAATGTAACCAAATTCATAGACAGGGCTAAAGATGCAAGGACTGACCATCCATGATATCAAAAAAAAGTTTTAATCATGTTTTGAGGCTATATAGTGTTTGTTTACCTTTACTTTGTTTACAAACATTGGCGTAAAACAAGCTTATATTTTGGGTTCTGATGGGGTACGACAGTTGAACTAAGCTCATGAGGCATATATTCTTCAAGAATCAATGGGTACATACATATTGATGTAGCAACTGCAGATTGCCCCTTTAAGAAAAAACAACATATGAGTGGTCCTTCCCTACCGCTCTCTAGGCTGGTGACACCCAGGGCCTGGGCAGAATGCAGGGTGAGGCGGTGCTGGCTGTCCTGGATGTAGGCCTGGCTGGGCATGGGGTAGAAGTTGGCCTGCAGGGGGAGCTTCAGGAAGCGGCGCCGGGGCTGCATCTGTGGAAACATTACAGTATTGAGGTACATGTTGAAGCCAAAGATCAGACATTCTATAGTGTAAAGTGTGTGTTGTGGTCTGACCTGGAATCCGTTGAGGTCTGTGTAGAAGGTGTCGTCACTCTGGATGTCAGTGACGAGCCGCATGGCCAGTTCCTTGTTAGACTGCTCTCTGATGTCCACCATGGTGGTGACATCCAGGGACAGACCGTCCACACCTGGCACATTGTGTATGCGGATGGTCTGTTGGAAGTGCTGGTAGAGAGCCACTACCTCAGAGAAAAGAGGTCCCTCCACCACACGCACCACCAGAGGCTCCTTCTGACTGTAGGGCTGAAAGATGGAGAGACAGTGTGTTTCTCTAATGGTTAAGGTTAGGATTGAGGCAGGGTACTGATCCTAAAATGGTTTACAGGTAACTTACTGTATCGCTAGTAGAGGTAGGAGGGTTTTAAAGTTAGCTCACCTTAGCCTTTCCGTCAGGCAGGAAGAGGTAAGCCCCGCTCTTATCCTTGGAGGACCGAGTACCATATGTCACGAACTGGATCTGAACCTTCAACTCCTGAGGGTCGTCTTTACGACGGATACTCTGATCGAGAGACGGAGCGAGAGACCATATTATACATTACACTTCAACCAAATTAATCTGTGCTGCCTATTTGGAATTCATCAAATGATCAAGGGCCTTGGACTAATTTTATCATTTTAGTCAACGTTTAGGCTAAGTTCCAAATCTGTTAGAGACAAAGCATAGTCAGTGGCTGCATCCCCAATGGCAGCCCAGCCCTTTGGTCAAAAGTACTGCATTACATAGGGTGCCATTTGGGCCGCAGCCTGAGCCTCTTCCCCTCCACGTACCTCCAGCAGGCCGGTGGTTCCAGAGAAGCCCAAGGTGAGGGACTGGGTGGAGATGTAGAAGGGTTGTGTGTCTGCCGTCTGGGAGCGGAGAGGGAGGGGATCCACAGCGTGGGCAGTCTGCCCCCGACCAGACAGCCTCAGCAGGGTCTCAGAGCGCAGCGTCATGGGGGTGTCGGCAGAGTCATACAGGTGGAACACAGCCAGGCCCAGGGCAGGCAGACGCACCATGAAGGAGGCCTGTAGACAGGAGAGAACACAGTTAAACACTCACACACACGGCAGACAGACCGAGGCACTCATGCTACACCTAATATATCAATGCATCTGTCAAATGAAGTACCAAGCAATGCCCATTAAATAGTCACTGAGAGCATCACAACCACACACCTGGAAGACCTCTGCGCTCATTTGGCTAGAAGAGCTCCACTGGGCACTGAGCTGCACAGGGAGGGTCTGTCCGTCCTCTGTGAGCACCCTGACCCTGGCAGAGTTCACCAACACTGTCACCACACACAGCCTGTCCTGCTCCACCGGGTTGAACAGCACCAGGTACCTGACGGAGAGACAGGGGAAGATCAGTCACAAACACCCCACCCATGAGAGACTGTACTGGGGCAGAGAGGAGGAGGGGTAGGGGGGTTACCTTGGTCCTGACTGGTCCAGTTCGATAAGGGTGCGCTGGGGCAGGGAGTCTTGGGTGGCACGTCTGTCATCCTATAGGATAAGGACATGAGTATGTGATAGTCAGTTGCACTGATTGGTTACACTAGAGAAGCACTGAGTAGGAGTAGATCACAACTCCTGTCATTAACAGGATCCCATTGGAAAGTAACATAAAAGAGAAGATGGGCTTATCTTAGCTATTGTAACATTAATGCATTGCTAGAGCTCCATGTCATGAACAGGTTGAAATTCCCTGTCCTTCTCCCTCACCGTCTCTAGGAAGGGTTCTGTCTGGTAGAAGCGATACACGTCCTTGTTCTTCATTACTAGGAAGTGGGCTGCGTTAATGATCACTCTCTTCAGGCCCTGCAGGGAGCGCAGTAACCTACAGAAGAGACAAAGGACATTTTACATTTACATTTTAGTCATTTAGCAGACGCTCTTATCCAGAGCGACTTACAGGAGCAACTGCCTTGCTCAAGAGCACATCGACAGATTTTTCACCTAGTCAGCTCGGGGATTAGAACCAGCGACCTTTCGGTTACTGGCACAACGCTCTTAACCACTAAGCTACCTGCCGCCCCAAGGACCAAGGACACATTATCCTAGTATTCTTGAAGTTGGAGACATGAGAGTCTTTTATCAAACCAGTGGTCACAAACCAGGCACATATGAAGAAAATAAGAGAGGGAATACCTATAAAAGTTGAAAAATATACTTCCATCTCTATTCTATGTCTCTCTTAGCCACTGACCTGTTGCCATAGTCAATGACCACGTTCTCCTTGGCGGTGCCTGTGATGGCATCGTGATGCTGGAACAGGGCGACGGTGCGCCTTGCGTCCGTCAGCAGGGTGTAGTCTGAGGTGGGGTAGCGGCCCTCCATGCCTGCGCGGCGAGCGTGGGCCACGGCAAGACTAAACAGGATCTCTGCCCCCCTTGAGAACACCACAGAGGAACAACACACAGCAACACTTTAACAAAGACAAGAGAACCTTCTGGATTTTTCCCAAACTTTGACAGTGTGCATGACAGGTTTCCATCTTCCAATTATTTAGCTTTTGAAACCTACGCACATGTGGCTAACATTGTCGAATTAAGGACTGAGAGTAAGGCGCAGATGCCAACCTGCTGTTTTACAGGTGTATTGAAGTCATGTCTGTCTGGTTCCATCTGGCCTTACCTGAGATGGGACTCTAGCACGCGGTCCATGCTCTTGTAGAAGGGCCGGGAGGTGTAGTAGCCGCTCCAGTAGTGGTCCTCGCGGTCTGCGTACGCAAAGAAGTCCCCGCTCAGCACCGGGTAGTCTGGGGGTCTGGCACCCTGCGGCACACTGTTGGCCTTGTAAACCGCAGTGAAGTAGTCAGTCAGGGTCCCAAACTGGGCCTGGAGACATACAGGAACACACAGGTGAGACAGGACATTTTAGATTCACTCTCAAACATCAATCAAAAACTACTTTTCAATAACTAACAGACCCCCAGAAGAGCCAGAGAGTTGTGGGCTTGGTCTCTGACCTGCACGTGCATTTCGGGGTGAGAGTTCATGTAGTCAAAGAGTCTCTGGTAGTTGAGGTACTGCTGGTCCCACTCCAGGGCCTTGTCGTAACGAAAGTCATCTCCCAGTGGAACCAGAACCACCTTACTGCGGAACAGCTTGGACTTCTTTCGGTACTGGTCCAAGAGCAGGTGGGCCCTAGGGTGGAGAGAGGGGTTACACACTGATTAACATCACAGTTGTGGCAGCCAGTATTACAGGATTCAAAAGAAGAAATTCCTGAACAGTGCTTGCTTTAGAATATTGACATTATTGGTTTCTGTCTAGTGACCTTCATCAAAGCATACATTTTAATGAAAAGGAGAAAGCAAGCAGTGTGCAGAAATGTCTTCTTTTGAAATGCATTACATATTCAAATCACATCTCTTAGATATGTGAGTGCATCCCAGTGCAATGCCAGTGTTACAGGACAATAGATGACTGTACATGACCTTAGAAAATGGAAGATAAAAAAATGACCTTTAATGGAAAAAGGCAATGAATAGCTTTCAGTTAGAGAGCTATTTTCTATTAGCCTCTCTCTGGAATGTGTGCTTTGGAAAGTTCTATGAAGCGTTTCTTTTTTCTACACAAAACTAGTCATTGAGAAGCAAGTTGCAGTGAAGGTCTCCAAAGCCAGTTGCATTTTTTCTGTTTTTCTGCACACTCCCTGCTCTACTGCTGAGCTCTGACATCTCCTCACCCCCAAACAGCCCTGAAAATGCTCCTTGACCCACATCCCCCCCAGCAGTGAGGTGTACAAGGCCCCGGGGAGGCTCTCTCTGCTTGGCTCACCTCTCCGCAACGTTGGCCTCCACCACGGCCCGAGGAGGAACCTTCCAAGGACAGTTGACCCGGCCGCCTGGCAGCCTCTTAAAGTCAAACTGGCAGCAGATCTTGGGGTCGGGCCCGCAGGTGTGTGGCACGTCATAACTGTAGAAGGGCATCATGTGGCAGAAAATGTCCGTGCCCGACTTTTGGTCTGGCAATACAAACAAAATGAAGAAAATAGTTGATTTATTTGGAGTTTGTGTGAAGATAAAAAGTTATATGCAAATACAAGCAAGGAACACAAACAGTTACTGTTCTTAGTTCAAACTATAAATTGGCCATTGCCACATTTCCCACAAACTCTATTTGACTTTAAAAGGCAGTCCAGAGAAGCACATTATGGTGTAAATAGATGAGATGGTTTTCCTGGCAGCAGACCAGCCAGCCACTGACCCCAGGCCTGCCTCCACATGAACTCCAGGCTGCGGCTGGAGGCGAAGTGCTTCTTTATGGAGTAGTGGACCCTCTGGATGAGCATGCTGGTCAGATTGGCCCTCTTCAACAGGTAGGGCATGGTGGCACTGTGGCCAAAGGGGTCCACAGCCCAGCCCGACCGAGGGGTCACACCTAGGGTAGGGCACAGCACAGGAGGGTTAACATCATGGAGAATACAACAGAGCATGGTGCAGTTTCTATGTCAACTTAATGGAAGTCATACAGGAACAGAAGACATTACTATGTCCGAAGTCATACAGGATTTCACACAACATGCGCAAAGGTGTCGTTGCAAAGTTATCCACTCACAGTTTGAATCAGTTTAACTTTCAAATGCTTCTGCTCCAAACCTCAGTGTGCAAAGCCCCTTGCATGAATAAGAAAAAGTGTCTCGGAGAGGGCAGACGTGTCCCTTACCCAAGTTCTTCTCCAGCCACTGATGGCCCTCTATGAGCTGGTCGATCATGGCAAAGTAGTGAACGTTGGCCTCATCAGTCATCACCCAGCCTCCAGTCACCATCTCCAGCTGCCCTCCCAGGATTAGCCTGAGACAGATAGAGAGGATTTAAGACATCCACACAGTAGGGATGTGATAAAAAGCAAACGCTTAAGCAGACTATTTTAGGAGCATCTAATCTCTCTGCCATTAGCTAATTACTGTAGATCACCCTGCTAATGTGGCCTGGCAGGTTGTTTACAGCCTGTGATAAGTGATACTGAAAATATACTGTTTTGCTAGTTAGGTAGACATCATTCACAGTTGGACGAGTTCCTGCTTACAAAAAACTACTGAAATCTAATCTACCAAGAACGGCACTATTGATCCTTCCTCATGACGGCTCAAATCCTTTAGGGAAGAATCAATTTGGGCAGTAGTAAGATATAGTAAGATGCCTGAGAGCTAGTGCTGTGACTGTGAGACACTTACTTGCGCATGGCTTCCTGCTTGTGCATGTCAGCGCTCTCCCACCACTTGGCGAAGAAGGAGATCTCGGACCAGATGAACTTCCTGCGTGGGTCCTCAGTCAACTTCACCAGCATGTTGTTGAAGATGTGCTGCGTCTGGTCTGTGTAGTACTTATCAAATGTCTTTATCCAGCCTGCCGGGACGGGAGACAGCAGCACAGAGGTGATGAGCACAACAATACAGATCAGGCGGAACAGGGTCCTGTTCAGTAGGACTGACACTACTGAAGCAAAACGCTTAAACTGAAAACGAAAATGGGAGATCCTTATTGGAAAAGTTCCTGTGGTAGGCTTAGGCTACCTCCCTGTTTCAAAGCATTTATGTGTGTACAAAATTTGACCCTGTATTGTACTGTACCATTTCCTATAGTGTATTCTGGATTGCGCCATGACAAGAGGAGGGGTAAGAGAAGGTCAGTGGTACAGTACCATACAAAACAGCTGTGTGGTATTAAAAATAACACCCGTTTCATTATTTAAACAGAACAGAAACTGTGCCTAACAATGAGACACTTTGAATGCATTGTCGAAGGCTGAGACACATGTAGCAACTGATAATGTAATAACTGCTAATAATTTATTAACTTTTGCATTTAAAATGTAATAAATGCTGATAATGTAATAAATTGCCAATAATGTAGTAAATTTGCTGAACGCATAACTTAAAGTTTTTGTGCATAATGTAATCATTATTACATTATGCATTGATTATTACATTATAACGTTGTTTTTTAAAAATCATCAATAGTGTAATAACTTCAACAAATAATGTAATAATTTAAAATCACTTTCTTTAATAGCATGCATATTAAGCGTCACACACTTGAGAAACACTTTGCATTTGCATCCATTGCCACAACAGATTTGCAATTTGAAGACACACCTTGTAGTCATGTGATTAGCCAAATTGTAATGATCACAAAAATATTCAACAAGAGTTTCACTCCTTATCCCAGGATAGACCAAGCTACTTTACCTTACAGAGTGCAGATGGAACAAGACTCATGTCAGAGACTCACTCACTCACACACACACTAAACCCATCGGTCCAAGGCCAAAACCTGTGTTTTTTCCACTACTGCCTTTAGTCCTCTTATGAGCCTCACATATGGAAGTTGTACACCTTTTCTTTTTCAGGTCAACCAGTACAAGAAACATTTTAATATAAAGTTGCCTTCACGGCTCCATTATATATATATATATATATATATATTTTTTCTCGTCTTGTGCCAAAGGAGGCGGAGTAGCAATCTACTGTAGAGATAGCCTGCAGAGCTCTATCATACTATCCAGGTCTGTGCCCAAACAGTTTGAGCTTCTACTTCTAAAAATCCACCTTTCCAGAAATAAGTCTCTCACTGTTGCCGCTTGCTACAGACCCCACCTCAGCCCCCAGTTGTGCCCTGGACACCATATGTGAATTGCTTGCCCCCCATCTATCCTCAGAGTTCGTACTGCTTGGTGACCTAAACTGGGATATGCTTAACAACCCGGCCGTCCTACAATCTAAACTAGATGCCCTCAATCTCACACAAATTATCAAGGAACCTACCAGGTACAACCCTAAATCCGTAAACATGGGCACCCTCATAGATATCATCCTGACTAATTTACCCTCCAAATACACCTCCGCTGTCTTCAACCAGGATCTCAGCAATCACTGCCTCATTGCCTGCGCCCGTAATGGGTCCACGGTCAAACGACAATCCCGCATCACTGTCAAACGCTCCATAAAACACTTCAACGAGCAGGCCTTCCTAATTGACCTGGCCCGGGTATCCTGGATGGATATTGACCTCATTCCGTCAGTAGAGGACACCTGGATGTTCTTCAAAAGTGCTTTCCTCTCCATCTTAAATAAGCATGCCCCATTCAAAAAATTCAGAACTAAGAACAGATATAGCCCCTGGTTCACCCCAGACTTGACTGCCCTTGACCAGCACAAAAACATCCTGTGGCGTACTGCATTAGCATCGAACAGCCCCCGCGATATGCAACTTTTCAGGGAAGTCAGGAACCAATATACACAATCAGTTAGGAAAGGAAAGGCTAGCTTTTTCAAACAGAAATGTGCATCCTGTAGCACTAACTCCAAAAGGTTTTGGGACACTGTAAAGTCCATGGAGAATAAAAGCACCTCCTCCCAGCTACCCACTGCACTGAGGCTAGGAAACACTGTCACCACCGATAAATCTACAATAATCGAGAATTTCAATAAACATTTTGCTACGGCTGGCCATGCTTTCCACCTGGCTACCCCTACCCCGGCCACCAGCTCTGCACCCTCTGCTGCAACTTGCCAATGCCCCCCCCGCTTCTCCTTCACACAAATTCAGACAGCTGATGTCCTGAAAGAGCTGCAAAATCTGGACCCCTACAAATCAGCTGGGCTAGACAATCTGGACCCTTTCTTTCTAAAATTAGCCGCCAAAATTGTCGCAAACCCTATTACTAGCCTGTTCAACTTCTCTTTCGTATCGTCTGAGATCCCCAGAGATTGGAAAGCTGCTGCAGTCATCCCCCTCTTCAAAGGGGGTGACACTCTAGATCCAAACTGTTACAAACCTATATCCATCCTACCCTGCCTTTCGAAAGTATTTGAAGGCCAAGTTAACAAACAGATCACCGACCACTTCGAATCCCACCGTACCTTCTCCGCTATGCAATCTGGTTTCCGAGCTGGTCATGGGTGCACCTCAGCCACGCTCAAGATCCTAAACAATATAATAACCGCGATTGATAAAAGACAGTACTGTGCAGCCGTCTTCATCGACCTGGCCAAGGCTTTTGACTCTGTCAATCACTGCATTCTTATTGGCAGACTAAATAGCCTTGGTTTCTCAACTGACTGCCTCGCCTGATTCACCAACTACTTTTCTGATAGAGTTCAATGTATCAAATCGGAGGGCCTGTTGTCTGGACCTCTGGCAGTCTCTATGGGGGTACCACAGGGTTCAATTCTCAGGCTGACTCTATTCTCTGTGTATATCAATGATGTCGCTCTTGCTGCTGGTGACTCTCAGATCCACCTCGACGCAGACGGCCCTTCATTGGACACTGTGTTAACAAACATCCAAACGAGCTTCAATGCCATACAACACTCCTTCTGTGGCCTCCAACTGCTCTTAAACGCTAGTAAAACTAAATGCATGCTCTTCAATCGAACGCTGCTTGCACCCCCGCCCGACTAGAATCACTACTCTCGGCGGGTCTGTCTTAGAATATGTGGACAACTACAAATACCTAGGTGTCTGATTAGACCGTAAACTCTCCTTCCAGACTCACATTAAGCATCTCCAATCCAAAGTTAAATCTAGAATCGGCTTCCTGTTTCGCAACAAAGTCTCCTTCACTCATGCTGCTAAACATGCCCTCGTAAAACTGACTATCCTACCGATCCTTGACATTTACAAAATAGCTTCCAACACTCAACTCAGCAAATTGGATGTAGTCTATCACAGTGCCATCCGTTTTGTCACCAAAGCCCCATATACTACCCACCATTGTGACCTGTACGCTCTCGTTGGCTGGCCCTCACTACATATTCGTTGCCAAACCCACTGGCTCCAGGTCATCTATGAATCACTTCTAGGCAAATCCCCGCCTTATCTTAGCTCATTGGTCACCATAGCAACACCCACCCGTAGTATGCGCTCCAGCAGGTATATCTCACTGGTCATCCCCAAAGCCAACACCTCCTTTGGCCGCCATTTCTTCCAGTTCTCTGCTGCAAATGACTGATACGAACTACAAAAATCTCTGAAGCCGGAGACACTTATCTCCCTCATTAACTTTAAGCATCAGTTGTCAGAGCAGCTTACCGATCATTGTACCTGTACACAGCCCATCTGTAATTACCCCACCCAACTACCTCATCCCCATATTGTTATTTACATTTGTTATTTATTTTGCTCATTTGCACCCCAGTAGCTCTATTTGCACATCATCTTCTGCACATTATCACTCCAGTGTTAATACTAAATTCTAATTATTTTGCACTATGGCCTATTTATTGCCTTACCTCCATAACTTACTACATTTGCACACACTTTATATAGATTTTCTATTTTCTATTGTGTTATTGACTGTACGTTTTTGTTTATTCCATATGTAACTGTGTTGTTGTTGTTTTTAATCGCACTGCTTTGCTTTATCTTGGCCAGGTCGCAGTTGTAAATGAGAACTTGTTCTCAACTGGCTTACCTGGTTAAATAAAGGTGAAATAAAAAATACATAAATAAAATTGTGTAGATATGACAACATTTTGGGACTGTATCATCTGTAATATCTAAGTGTGTTGGAAATAAAATGCCACAATGTCCCTGTTTATGTCTGCTGAGAAACAAGAGTATGGGCCCTCCAACATTAGTCCACTGGTTTAATGAACTGTCCAGTTACATTCCCTTAGTAATATCAAATAACGATGCAGGAATGTGGTTTTACAGGGGGGTTGTTATTACATTATTGGTTAAAGTTCTTACACTATTTATGAAAAATATGCTAACCATTTCATAATGTAATAATCAATGCATAATGTAATAATTAGTTATTAGCAAATTACAGTATCAGCATTTATTACATTATAAATGAAAAAGTTATTACATTATTAGCAGCTATTACATTATTGCCAGTTATTACATTATCAGTTGCTAAAGACGCAGGCCAACAGACCATGCATCTCTCAGAAAGGAAGAAGTTGTTTACTCTAGTAACATACAACAGATTAGTCTAGTACTAACTCATCTATAGAGTATTGAACGCCGTTTGGGTCTTTGCGTGTCAAAAAAGATACACATCATTTGACGCGTCAAATAATACAATTATATCATAGAATGTGTGTGCTGAATTTGCATGTGCAAGCCAAGCGCCACCACTACGATCAGTAGCACTGTCAAAACTGTACAAAAAAAAGGTCTGCAAACAAGCACACCGGCCACCAACCATGTGTTTACAATAGCGCGTTGGTAATAATGCATTATTTGTTCGACCGAATGAGAAAACGTCTGTGTGAGCATTTGAAATAAGATCAGGATCAAACGAGCAGGATCAAAAATGTTTGCAAATATCTTTGATACAGATGTTATTAGCAACTTCTGGGGTAGCTAGCTAGCTTTAGCTTGGTAACGTTCCCTAGCTAGCACCAATGCAACTGACGTTAGCTTGAAAACAATAACTGCAGTCATTTTCAATATTCTTAGCAATGATTTAGCAATCCATGTGAGTAAGTATTAGCTAGGTAAGTTAGCCACTTGAACTTGAAATTGAACTTCAGTTTCATGAAAATAACTAGCTAGCCAGCTACTTAACCCTGTTGCCCAAAGCTAACGTTATAAGCAGCCAGTAAACTTCATCCGGCTGGTGAGGCTTGACCGGACCGGGTTATGTGTTGTGAAAATAGCCACAATAGTGGAATTTGCGGTTTGCCTTCAAAATAAAAGTACCTCCTTGTAAGTGACGCAGAAGGTTACAATTGATGAAATCATTCAATTTTTAGACTAGATAATGTTAAACAAGGTTGGAATGTGGAGCATCAGTCTACTCGGTGACACCCACAGAACACAACTGAAGAGTTTACGCAAATATTAGCGTTGTAGCTCTTTTCGCGGGACTGTGACTGTGAAAATCACCTCCCCAGTCAGCCTATTGTGCATACTGACATTCATATTGCACTGTACAGCCTTACCTAAGGATTGGGGATCAATTAAATGGGGTGTCAGTCTACTCAGTACCAATAAGCATGTTGACCAATCAGGACCTGAATATGACTGCACGTCACATAACAATTTAACACGTTCATACATTTTTTACATAGTTAATACACATTGATTACACTATCACTCGTATCTCATATCGGTCACAACGACTCATTGATACGTATGCAATGATGCTGGTGAAGTACACATCAAAGTGTTATTTGACGTGTATCTTTTTTGACACGCAAAGACCCAAACAGCGTTCCATAATAGAGCACGATGCTAACAGTAGACTAAACCATAGTAGTCCATGCCACTGGAATAGTGTGGAGGGGATGAACAGACTGGTAGAAGGTAGACCAACCAACTCGAGTAGAGGATAGTGAAAGGGGCCTTTTACCGTTGCATTGTCTGCAGGTCTTATTATGACTCTGTGCCAGTCCTGCCGTTTGACCTACTTCACTTTACCTGCAGTCTTGTTAAACCCTTAAAAGCTCTGGCCTTGCTTTTAGAGAGGACATCCCAGAACAAAGAAAACTGCTTTAGCATGGATTCACTGACAACAGTCCCAGTGGTCCCTCATAGCTCTCCGCAGACCCAAGACTAGCTGTGAACATTTACTCAGTGACACCTTAGTAATGAGTAAAGTTTATACTAATTAAAATGGAAGCATAATGAATGCCTATTCCTGTTCTTGAGTGACAATCTGCAGGATCTGCCACGTCAACAAGTCAATAACTGTCAAGTTAGGTAGCTGGCCTCACACTGGCTGTAAATAAATCTAAATGGAACTGTCAGTCTCTGGCTAAAATCAAATCTCGTGCCAAGACACAGCCATTCTAATCTAAAAATAGCCTAGACGTTTGCATTCTAATGTCATTGTGTCACTCCATTTGTCAATCCTGTCATCTGCAGGTAATAGCAAAATATGGAACCTTGATTGAATTGTGTTAAGTACAAAAAAGGAACTTCTCATTATCTTTTTTGCTTTCCTGTCACTAGGCCTCACTTCGTCACACTTTGCAGTTTTGAAAGAGCAAGGTAGACCTACTACCTGACCTCGTCCAATAAGAAACCATCATTTTCATTATCCGTCTCATAGTGTTTTGCTACGGTGTGCTCTGAAGAAACTTGCTTTAGAGGCATCTCTCACCTGGGTCGTTGTGGGAGTGAGGGACCACAAACACCTGCAGAGGCTCACTGTCCCACTCTCCAGGCTCATAGGTGATCTCAAAGCCCTGCTTCCACACACCCCCGTCCACATTGTCAAACTTCAGCAGAGAGTATACGTCCAGCATCTGGAAGACAACAGACCAAAGTTGGCAAACTTATCTCTGCTTTGGGTTTAGAATATATGCCAATTTATTATTTTTTTACTCTTATTTGGGAGGTGGGGGTGGAGAGAAGAGGCAAATCACATGATATCTGTAATTAAATGTGCCACGTAGACAAGAGACAGTGTGTTAACAATCACACACATATGGCCTACTGATGGCCAACAGAACAACAGAGTTCCTCCCATTCCCAGAAAGTCCCTGGAGAGCAGCTCACCTGCAGGTCGGTCTGTCCGCGGGGGCCCTGGGCAAACTGGCAGTCCTGGGGCTTGACAGAGAGGAAAGTGGGGCGTCCGTCGAAGGGCAGGACCCAGGAGCCGTTGGCACTGCGGAAGGGCAGCTGTCCGCTGGGGGACACAGCGCCAGTGTCGGTCAGCTCCAGAACAGAGTCCTTGATGTGGCTGATGATCTGGTGGTTCTCCTCCAGCAGTTGCTCCAGCTGTTCTATGCGGTTCTGCAGAACAGAGATCTGGCTCTAGAACGCAGGAGGAAAAGGCCCCGAGGGGAAATGGGGATGAACGTCACAGGAGGTGCTAAATAGGGCTAGCTAGTTTATATGGATGGATACACTACTTCACTGTCCCCTCCCCAAAGGAGACACTGTTGTGAAAATCCAGGTCCTTGTTCACTCAAGCTGCTGTAGCAAATACAGTTGAAGTCAGAAGTTTACATACACCTTAGCCAAAAACTTAGCTAAACTCCGTTTTTCAGAATTCCTGACATTTAATCCTAGTAAAAATTCCCTGTCTTAGGTCAGTTAGGAGCACCACTTTATTTTAAGAATGTGAAATGTCAGAATAATAGTAGAGAGAATGATTTATTTCAGCTTTTATTTCTTTCATCACATTCCCAGTGGGTCAGAAGTTTACATACACTCAATTAGTATTTGGTAGCATTGCCTTTAAATTGTTTAACTTGGGTCAAACGTTTCAGGGTAGCCTCCAAGCTTTCCCACAATAAATTGGGTGAATTTTGGCCCATTCTTCCTGACAGAGCTGGTGTAACTGAGTCAGGTTTGTAGGTTTCCTTGCTCACACACGCTTTTTCAGTTCTATCCACAAATGTTCTATAGGATTGAGGTCAGGGCTTTGTGATGGCCACTCCAGTACCTTGACTTTGTTGTCCTTAAGCCATTTTGCCACAACTTTGGAAGTATGCTTGGGGTCATTGTCCATTTGGAAGACCCATTTGCGACCAAGCTTTAACTTCCTGGCTGATGTCTTGAGATGTTGCTTCAATATATCCACATAAATGTCCTTCCTCATGATGCCATCTGTTTTGTGAAGTGCACCAGTCCCTCCTGCAGCAAAGCACCCCCACAGCATGATGCTGCCACCCCCGTGCTTCACGGTTGGGATGGTGTTCTTCGGCATGCAAGCAACCCCCTTTTTCCTCCAAACATAACGATGGTCATTATAGTCAAACAGTTCTATTTTTGTTTCATCAGACCAGAGGACATTTCTCCAAAAAGTACGATCTTTGTCCCCATGTGCAGTTGCAAACCGTAGTCTTGCTTTTTTATGGCGGTTTTGGAGCAGTGGCTTCTTCCTTGCTGAGCGGCCTTTCAGGTTATGTCGATATAGGACTCGTTTTACTGTGGATATAGATACTTTTGTACCCGTTTCCTCCAGCATCTTCACAAGGTCCTTTGCTGTTGTTCTGGGATTGATTTGCACTTTTCGCACCAAAGTACATTCATCTCTAGGAGACTGAACGCGTCTCCTTCCTGAGCGGGATGACGGCTGCGTGGTCCCATGGTGTTTATACTTGCGTACTATTGTTTGTACAGATGAACGTAGTACCTTCAGGCATTTGGAAATTGCTCCCAAGGATGAACCAGACTTGTGGAGGGCTACAATTCTTTTCTGAGGTCTTGGATGATTTCTTTGATTTTCCCATGATGTCAAGCAAAGAGGCACTGAGTTTGAAGGTAGGCCTTGAAATACATCTGCAGGTACACCTCCAATTGACTCAAATGATGTCAATTAGCCTATCAGAAGTTTCTAAAGCCATGACTTCATTTTCTGGAATTTTCCAAGCTGTTTAAAGGCACAGTCAACTTCTGACCCACTGGAATTGTGATGCAGTGAATTATAAGTGAAATAATCTATCTGTAAACAATTGTTGGAAAAATTACTTGTGTCATGCACAAAGTAGATGTCCTAACCGACTTGCCAAAACGATAGTTTGTTAACAAGAAATTTGTGGAGTGGTTGAAAAACGAGTTTTAATGACTCCAACCTAAGTGTATGTAAAATTCCGACTTCAACTGTAGGTAAATGAATGACTAAAAGCAAACAAAAGCAAACAATTTATGGGTCCTATTCGAGCCAACTGCCACAAAACAAGTTTAGGCCAACATGACTCAAATCCTGTCAGAAACAATCAAATCCAGGCTTCATTATTCACACTGTTGCTGGAGCAGGTCTGTAAACATAATCATTCACAAATCTTCGCTGCTGCCAAGCAGTTCAGCTGTGGTGGATAGGCCTCTTTACACAAGGTGTGTTTATGAAAATAGCTCAATGCCTCTCAGGATACATTACAAAATAAATGATGGATAAATTAGAGCTATATTAATTATTTAAACACGTGTGCATCTCACCAATTAGGACCTAGAGTATTCTACATTTGTTAATTACAGCTTTGATGTAACTCAATATCAAAGGAAAAATGTCCATAAAACTTGAAAAAAGGTACTGCCTCTGGCTTGTAACAGCACACAGATGTATCACAACAACATGGTGTTTGATTGCAGCCAAGGATTGAGACTAACAAGCTAACTAGTGGTGCTATGTCTATAGATGTCTTACCCTTGGGAAGTTACCGCCGCCGTTCTGTCGCCTTGCAGGGTCGTGTTGGACCCTGTCCAACATCAGGTATAAGGAGAACACGGCCACACAGAATATGGCTCCTCCACACACAGTCACCTGCTTCTTCAGCTTCATCCTTTAGCCTGTAGGGGGGAAAAAAACGACCTTAACTTGTAGGTCTTTACTTCCAAGACAGAGGGGAATGGTCCTTAGTGAGGACAGAGTGGAGTGCAGTCCTTGGAGTTCAACAAGTGCCCGAAAGTGACCAGCTAGACCACTGTCAGCAACAGTTCCCTTCCACCCTTGCCTGCACTCCCTTAGACCTCCATTCACCAGAGCAGTCAGGGGCGGAACAGTTGGCAGAGAAGGTGGATGTAGGTGTGGTGAGGGACACAGGGTACTCAATCAGCAGTAGCTGGCAAGCAGTCTGTCAGCTCCGGCCAAACCACAGCCACCGCCAGGCTCCTTCAAAGTGGCCCTTGGGCTCAACCATCCAAACCTTTGAGATTGCGGAGGAGAAAAAAAAAACACACAAAAACAAGCACTAAACAGCAAGGGCCTACTGTCTCCGCAGCATGGTGTCTGTGTGTGTGCAATCCTTTGGTCCAGTCCAACTCCCAGGGCTGTGTCTAATTCTTTAGCACAGGCAGAGTCCCCTTTCGCTCGGTTGGCCGCCAGGGCATAGCCATAACAGTAAGCACATGGCTTCAGTGGTGAGAAGAAACAGGGCTGAATGAAGGAGGGACTTGGCTACAGGTACCACCAGCTCTTTAGATAGCCTTTTTCACTTTGCTCACAGGACTCCAGGATGAGACAAATGTCACTTCGATGCTCTCTTTGACAAAGCCTAAGCATATCAAGATGAGTTTCCTTGGTCACGTTTGCATCATGTTTAAATTATGTCCTAGGGTCCTTTTCTGAAGACGGAGGGTAATAATCTCAGTTTAAGGAGGCATGGCCAAAACAACTATGTAATCCCGCTTTCCGGTCTGCAAAAAAAAAATAACTTGTTAGTAGTACTCAGTAAAAAGCTGTATGCAAGTGTGTAGGAGAGGAGAGTCACAGACAGATCTTGATAAGTAGATGTATACCAAGAAGCAAAACAACCAAGCTGAGCCCAGTGGCCTGGATTTCAGGACGCTTGCTAGCTAAAGAAAGACAGGTGTTCCTTCTTCCCTCAGCAAATCCTGTATGATCATAATCCTATCAACTCACAGGCTGTCAGTGACTTAGCCTTGCCGTGGGGATTTGGGATGATAAAACCCAACACTTACACTCGCATAGGCTGGCTGCAAAACAACTAAATGGTTCCCAATTCAAAAATGATTTGTTGGGCCATCTGTACATGATGACTAAACCTCTCCTAGCATGGAAATGACAGGCTCTAGTGATATTAGCAAAGTAACGTATTATGCCTTTAATACAAATGAACTTGTAATCTTTGCTAGGTAAAGTCACTGTTGCAAGCTCCACATCTTTTGCAATGCATAAATCACTACATGAGGATATCAGACTCCAAAGAATACATTTGATTATTTCCCATGCATGAGCTTGTAAGAAAATGATGGGGCCACTGACTGCTGCTTCCCATTCATCAATACAGAGATGATGGAAACCAACGTTGGTAAATAAATATCCTTGTTTGTGGAAATGTATCCTTGTTTGTCGAACCTGTAAATGAAAACAGCAGCAATCAGTGAAGTCGAATTAAGCTCCGGAATAGTTCATGGTGATTTCCCTGTGTGTGGGTTGAGGTGTGAAGCAACAAAAACATGGCAACTCAATAAATATCTTAATCGTTCAAGCAAACAAGTGTCACTATAGCTAGCTAGCTATCAAGATCTAGTGATACTCCGTGACAAATACATTTTTCGATGCTAGCTAGCTAACTTTACTGAGAGAATCTATGCATAGTAACTTTACCCCTACCTACATGTACAAATTACCTCGAGTAACCTGTACCCCTGCACATTGGTACCGTTACCCCCTGTATATAGCCTTGTTATTGTTATTTTATTGTGTACTTTTTTTAAAACTTGAGTTTACATAGTAAATATTTTCTTAACTCTATTTTCTTAAAACTGCATTGTTGCTAAGGGCTTATAAGTAAGCATTTCACAGTCAGGTCTACACCTGTTGTATTCGGCACAAATTTGATTTGATTTGAATCAATGGACCTTGCTAGCTAGCTAGTCAAAGCTTTCATTGGATAGTCAAAGTGTCATTGTACTTTTAAATGAGCTAGGTAGTTCCAAATAGGATACCATTTATACATGGCATAAAATATTATTCATGCAGTCATGCCTGACAGACAGCTAGCTAAATTAGCTAGGATCTACAATGGCAGGTTGACACACAGAAATACAATGAATAGACAGGGTGTCCCCATTCAAGTCACTGATGGCATAACGGGTGGATTTGCAACAACTTGAGTGTACACGAAGTGTACATACCCTTTCATCTGTGCTGTGAGTCAACTCAACTGACATTACAAAAAATACTTTCCATTGCATAAGCTGTAACATTTTACATCACCATGGCAATCCAGCATCAATTGATAGAACATTCCAAATTACCATGGAAATTATTGCACCAGGCAGTCACTGCAAGTGTACCCATGAGTTTACCAGTCAAATTACCAGCGTTAGAGCTGCCAAGGCCGTTGTATTCACTCTATTTCTATGGGTTGACATTTCTCTGTTACCATAACAACTTACCTAGCTATTTAGCCTGTCCCGTTTCTTTTACGCATGTTACATTAGGTTAAGCTTGTGTTAGCTTAGCAGGTGCAGTTAGTTTGCTGCATTAGCAAACTTGCTTCAGCAATCCTTTAACCACTGAAGCTTGCACTTTCGTCTCTGACTGACAGCTGCTCCGCACAATCCCACGGCTAACACGCTGTAACGTTTGCTAGCTAACGTTACGTTAGTCAGCTGGCTACACAACCAGTTAGCTAGCATTAGCCTAGCTACCAGTAACTAGCTAGCTCAGTGTCAAAGAAATCAACCTACCACTCAGAGTCGAATCATCCCGAATAGCTGTTGTCAGGACACATACAAAATAGACGTTATGATGCCCGCGGACGGTTATCCATAACTACCGAATGGTTCTCTGTTTCGCCGTCAGCCGGAGATTGGATATGCGTGTCAGTGTGGGGGATACTGCTAAAGCGTTTAGCCAGAGACGAAAGAGGAAGCGAGACATCCCACTCCCTCATTTTTCTTTCTTTCAATGAAGTGAAAAGGAGGAGGAGTCTACCGACGTGTCCAGAAGCGACTTCACCATTCATTTTCTGGATTCAGGTTCACTCAAACATCGTTTTAAGGGGGGGGAATGTTATACCATTCCAGGTATTCATTAAAGAGGTAGGGTTTCAAGTGTCTCCGGAAGGTGGTCAGGTGACTCCGCTGTCCTTGCATCGTGGGGGAGCTTGTTCCACCATTGGGGTGCCAGAGCAGCGAATAGCTTTGACTGGGCTGAGCTAGCTAGCAAGGTCCATTGATTCAAATCAAAACTATTGACAGTTACAGCCGATTTCGGGATTGTATATCGATTCTTTCTCCTTTAATATTTGTTGTCTGATGTATTCGTTTCAGTCTCTGAAATGTTTGATCAAACTTTTCGCCACCGGCTCCAGTATGAAAATGTATGCACTCACTAACTGTAAGTCGCTCTGGATAAGAGCGTCTGCTAAATGACTAAAATGTAAATGTAAAAATGATATCAGGGCACAAACACGTTCAAATGTCCTGAATTAGCCTAGTGCGCATGTGCGCCCAGCTAAATCCTTTCCCGAATTTACTTTCGCCGGTTTTCCCTGGCTAAACTAGCTGTCTAGCGGAACTATGCTAGTTTTCGTCCTCATTGCCAAACTTAATAAATAATGCACCCTCAACCTCAAAACTCCTTTGCCAGTTATACAATAATGTAGCTAAGAAATTCGATGGAAAGAATCTTGAAAATGAGTTATTGTAAGACAATGGTGGCGAAGGATATCATTGCTACTTAACGTGGATCCAAGTTCAGTTTTGAGATCCCACTGGCGTCATTGACGTAGGGTTCTGACTGGTCTTGGAACTGTGAAAACGGGCAGCCTATCGCTGCTTGGCTCTATGGGATATGTAGTGATTCTGCCAACACAGCCAGATATGTACTGTTGAGATAATGGGCATAATGCCAACCCAGAGATGGCGCTAGTTGGGCACCTATCTAGGATAGATAAACAGGTGCATTATGAGTGTCTGATTAAGATTCCGTGACCTGAAACAGGTAATAACTGAGTAATGGATTATGCTTGCATTTTACCAAACTCTCCGACATGAGTTAATCACATCCGCAGATTAACATGGTGTCAGAGAAATTAACCCAAAGCCAAGCGCTACGGGAAAATATGGTAAATTATGTTGACAATGTCTGATAAACAATTGGAACAAATTAGCGAGGAAGAAGACCCTGCAAAGTCTCTCAGTCAAATTCCGGTGCCTAGCGCTATGGACATGAAAGGCGATTTGTATCAAAACTGGTTGTTTTTCCGTGATCAGTGGGAGAATTATGAAATCACTACGGGTTTAGATAAAAAGACCCGCATGTGCAAGTGGCAACACTGCTCAGTATTATTGGAAGAGAGTGCCATATGCTTCAGCGTCACCTAGATATGGGGGAAGAGGATAGCAACAATTCAAATAAAATCCTTGACATTTTACAAAGACATTTTGAACCCGCTCGTAATGTGATTTATGAAAGATTAATTTTTAACACGTGAACAAACTCAAGCAGAGACGTCTGGTCAATATGTTGTGAGGCTGAGTCAATTGTCTGATTCATGTGATGTCGGGTCAATGAGAGACGAAATGATCAGAGACAGACTTGTGATTGGCTGTAAAGATAAGAGTAAGCACAAGTATTCTGCGCGAACCACAATTTACGCTGACTAAAGCAATATATATACAGTGCCTTCGGAAAGTATTCAGACCCCTTGACTTTTTCCACATTTTGTTACGTTACAGCCTTATTCTAAAATTGATTAAATATTTTTTTCCCCTCAGCAATCTACACACAATACCCCATAATGACAAAGCGTGAACAGGTTTTTAGAAATTTTAGGACATTTATTCAAAATAAAAATTGAGCTCTGGTGCA